ACACACGCAAAAAAGATATTAATAATGTTGCAGTCTTTGTCGCAACTTCATGTGTGAAATAAGAGCTTCCATGTGACCTTTAAAGTAAATCGTAAACAACGTTTTTGAAAAAAAAAAAACTTTGGTCATTATAGCAAACCTTTTAAACCCTTAGTTACTACAGGATTCTGACGATGGTGTATAACACAGAGATATTGGGTTTTCGGGCTTTATCCATCGTCCTGGTATTAAAATAACTAAGAAAAACACGACGTTTCGTAAACTGGATCTGTTTCCGTCCTCAGGTGAGGGAAAACACCTATTCTGTTGGGTCCCTTACAAAGAGTTAGCCTCAATCACTGGACCCAACAGAATAGGTGTTTTCCCTCAACTGAGGACGGAAACAGATGCAGTTTCCGAAACGTCGTGTTTTTCTTAGTTATCTTAAAACCATGACGATGGATAAGTCCGAAAACCCAATCTCTCTTTAAACCCTGTTTATTTGAAGAAAAAAAAAAGTTTCCGGAATATTACTGTTTAACGTTTCAGTTTCATTTCTGAATTACTCATATACACGGTAATCTAACACATGTACCTTCCAGTAAAGCCCTTTGTAAGGGCGGGTTACAGCCTCGTGCTGGTGCATCACATCTGTACACTCTCTTCCACATCATCGTCACTGCTTCTTGTCAGAGCAATTTACATATTATCCACGTGACGGTTACATTTTATCTGGTATTCAAAATCGCGTCGATTTTCGAGAAGTTTATTGTTACAATTAATAATTTTCCCAAACATTCTCAACCCTGAAAGCCTCAAATCTTACATTCTCAACCCTGACGATGGAGGCAGCGTAAGCCATGAAAACCCTGTATATCATATTTCTCAAATAATTTCTTTATGACTCTTTCCTACATTTTTATTTATTAGCTTTGCAACCTGCAATGTCACAGCTAGAGTAGACTGTTCACCAACTTACAGCTCTCTGTACAAGGACACAAGCCTTCTATTGTCTCTCTGTCTTTAGGTCCTAACGCTTTGAGTCTCCACTATTACAACAGACGGTATAACTTTCTCTATCCCAAATTCCCATTATAAAATGTAAAGCTATTCCAGTAACGGCACGTGAAGGCCCATAGGGTTGTGACACGTCGACGCTCCCACATTTTCTCTAGACCAGGCATGTCAAACTCAACTTGTACAGAGGGCCAACTCAGCCCTATAAATAATAGTTCAGGGCCGCACTTCAAAACAGAAATATACATTAGATTTTGATACAAGGAAATTTAATTCTACTTATTATTTAGGAATAATTTCAATATAATTACCTAAGGTCACATATCTTACAGTTCTAAAAAGCAAGAGAATGCCATTTTTGACAAGTATCAAACAGCTTTTCAATATGTAAAAAGAGAGATTACACAAGAAGTTATGTTAGAAATAGCAAAACATTGAATTTCCTGCATCCTGCTAATTTATGTCTGCGTGATACTTCTTGTCTTCTGGTCTGTTGGAAAACTGTCTTTACAAAAAAATATTTCTATTAAAATTTTAATACTGATTTTAATATCAATTAGCTCTAAAAGTTGAGGGGCCGCACTTTGTGGCTATGGGGGCCGCATGTTTGACACGGCTGCTCTAGACAATCGGTTCACAGATGGCGCTATGTTTGTCAGCCTTACGCGCCGGCCGCCCTTTACATCCCAGGAAGATTCCTGGTACTCATTCCTGTTAGGGGTTGAGTCGACTCCAGGGCCATAGTGCGGATGGAAGGATTAGATAAATTGCAAAAAAAAAAAAAAAAATTACCTCACCACAAAGTAAAATTAATTCCTATCTCACAGAATCTGCCAGTACAATTTCATTGGTATTCTGTTACAATGAGGATCTGGGACAGATATTATGCCATATGTTGCAATAATTACATCTCGCATAGTTTACCTCTATTAGTCGAGATAGCTCGGTCGGTAAAGCGACGGGATGGACAACCGGGGTTCGATTCGTGGCCTGGACAAGAGATTTTTCACTTCTGTAGGGCCTCAAGACCGGCTCTGCAGCCATTTACCCGAAGGTAAAGCGACCAGGACGCGAAGCTGACCACTCATCTCCAGCTAGTTCCGAAATCAAGAAAGGCGGGGCTATACCTCCAGTCCACCGTATGTCTTCATGGAGTGGTGCTTAATTAAGCACAGGGACAACTTTACTTCCTTTTTGCTAGTGAGGTGGGAATAAGTGCCTTGCACTGCAGCCACTTCTGGCCTATTGTACCAGCCCCAGATGATAGGCGAGGGCGATTGTGGAGCAATTGGTGGAATGAAGATTGGCAGGGGAAACGGAAGTACTCGGAGAACCCCCCCCAGCGCCTCTTTGTCCACCACAAATCCCACTTGACTACACCCGAGATCGAACCCGGGCCGCCGCGGTGGGAAGCCAGCGACTAACCGCTTGAGCTATGGCGCGGTCTCAACTTTACCTTACTTTTCAGTTTTAAGCTAAGTGCTGTGCTGGTATTAGATTCACTCATGCACATACAGTTTCCTAATGTTTAATGACGTCACAAATAGACTCATTTGCAGTGGTTATTGGCAACTGTTTAGGGACGAAGACGTGGAATTCAGACCGGCTCAGGAATCCACCTAGCCTCGTATTCAACGACCGGCTGGGGCCTTTCCTCCCCTAGGGCAAAGCAGCGAGAGTTGAATCAGACTGCTGACCTCTGATAGCACCGAGCCTTAGAACATATGCAGCTTTAACCCGAACGCCTTCAACAAGCAGTGCTCAAACACAGGGACATACTGTACGTATTTCCTTCTGCCTCTACTGGTTTGTTGAAAGGTTACACTGAATCGTCGAGGAAAGAAAGTGATTTGGCTTTCGAACACAGCGTCGAATGATGCGGAAGCAGTCACGACCATATTTAAGGGAACCATCCCAGCATTTGTTCAACCGCCTCTGTGGCCTAGTGGTCAGAGTTCCTGGTTACAGATCCAGAGGTCCCGGGTTCGATTCCCGGCGCTATCAGATTGTCTGATAAGTAGTGGGTCCGGAACGGGGTCCTCTCAGCCTCGTGGGGATACTTGAGGAGATATTTCAAGGAAATAGCGGCTCCGGTCAAGAAAACTGAGATTAACGGGCGACACTCTGTGTCCACTAAAATTGGCCGACAAGAGGCGGTTGCTGGGTCGGTATAGTTCGCTTGCGGACTACAGGCCACGGATTTCCCCCCCCCCCAGCATTTACGGGGACACGAAGAAAAATTTGGTCACAGGTTCCGACGAGGACCGAAAAGATGAATGAACGTGCTGGCGAGGATCAGCAGCATCCTACTCTCTGAGGGCTTGAGAGAAACCAAGAAGAAAGCCAGAATAGCCAATCCGAGCAGCAATCCTAATCACTACAGCTCGTAAATCTCGAATCAGGGACTGGGGGGCTTTCATCACCTCCCTTAGCTCCTCTATACCCGCCTTCCACGTCCTTTCAAACTCGTTATTCACATTCATCTACACACTCTGTAACGTACTTAGTTCAAAACGTGTAATTAAATAATTTGAGAAGCAATCTAACACAATTACGATAAAACACCTTACGCCCGCCTACGTGTTTCATCTCCCACACTACAATGAGGTTCAATTCTGTTTCAAGACCATTGTCATTTTAGCCTGCTTTCCTAAAGTAGGTTCATGTGATCCCCCCCCCCCGCAACTTCTGAATGACTGAACCAAGGTTCATGCGATATGCATCCTGCGTGTCTGTAGAATCCTCCCTCCCACGAAACTTTTGAATGTCCGAATCAATCTGTGTGAAACTTGGAACGTATATCATAACAACTGAGCTCATCCGAATGGCGTATTTCATGAAACCCCCCCCCCCCNCCCCCCCCCCCCGTCTACACTTAATAATTAGGAGATGTATGGAATTAGTATGACTTCATGACTTATGTAATAGCGAGATAAATGGAGAAAATATACTTTTGTGCGGGAAAACGTTCGTTCACAATACTCGCATAGAAAGCAATTCAAAGTGGGGGTTTCTGTGTTGTCAGAAGCAAATATGTTGAATTATTCTGATCTTGGTACGTAATATTACAATAAGTACATAAGTTTCACGAAGTGTCTTTTTTAGTCTTTGGTTTCAATTCTTATTTCCGTGCTTGTGCTTCACAGATCTAACCTCTGCACGGCAGATGCTTTTAGCGGCAGTGGGAGAAAAAATTATAATGCGGCGTGCGTGTAGAAACCTAAGGGGCAGTGGGGTACGTAAGTGTATGAAGTTAGACTGCTTTAGAATTTGATAGTTCTACCTCCGGAGAGGGACAGGCACGTGGCAAACCAAAGATAGTGATATATACCTGCAATAAATGAACATAAAACTAACGATAAATATAAAAGTCGCAAAGAATACATTTTGAAAATGTGTATACTCTAAATTGCATCATGTTTATAAAATTTTTCGGTTTGTAAAATATATAACACATAACGACCTCAATTATGCACTATGTAAGCAAAGGGTGAGATGGTTCCACGGCCGTAATTATCCATATTCCTCCTCTCAATTCGTAATCTTCCCATCGCTGGTCGATATTTGCGTATAACCTACACATTCGACAGAGAAATATCAAATAAATAAAAGAATAGGCATTTTAAATGGCGTAATTACCTGGTACTAGAACCGAAAGTTTATCACTGATACCAAAACTGACCGTTGAACATGATCCTGGATCTGTTCCAGACACATCACGTTTAACAACCAGCTAAACCACAATCCTCATCACGTTGTCTTCCACGTACAATCTTTACAAGAGGTTTACCAACCAAAATTCGTAATAAAACGCCTTTCGCCTAGTCAGTCTACTACCGGACATGTATACAAGGCAAATTTCCTTGTTCTGTACCATTCTAATTGCCCTTGTATTTACCCCTATTAGATCATATTTTCTTAACCATTCGCTTATCAACGAATGGTATGTATGAAATAACCAGAGACGAGTTGACTGAACACGTGCAGAACATTTCACTGCTTACCAAACGCACAGCATTCCCGCCAGGCCAGGAGCACAACACTTCACTACACAACACAACCAAACTCACATTCACTATGACTGCCCTAAGACCACTGACAGTAAGTGGCACATGCTTGGGTCTTCCGCAGTTGCAAGCCAGCGTGGTACTGGGTCTAGGCCAGTGGCTGTTACTTTATCGCCACGCACCGCTGAGAAACAAGATTAGGGTGAGGGTTCAGTCTACGTCGGCGGCATTAAAAGTCATACCGGAAATTACACTCTGCATCGTAATTTGAATATGAACTACAATGTCGGCAGTCTAGCTTATATGACAATGAATACTGTATATGAGAGGATGGAGAACTATAAAAACAGTCAACAAGATCTAAAAGTTTGTGACGATGGTACATTGTATCATGTTCTTGGACATTATTCATCGTCTTGTGTTTATTTTTTGGTCCGGAGATACGGACAAGCTCTATCGATTGGGCCCAACTGAGTAGGTCTTACCTGAAGATGGAGAAAGAATCCAGTCTCCGAAACGTGTTTCTAAAAATAAACAGGACGGTTTTTAAATATAGACAAGACGATGGATGTCCAGAAACATAATTATGTTTCTGGACTTTTCTTATACAAATATTATAATATTTGTATAAGAAAAGTTGAAGGTAGATAAATGAACATTTTATGGATTATTGTTGCGTTGTTGACTTATATGTGACTGGGGATATAGCGCAGTAGCATGAAATGACGAAGGGGTCACAAGACTGTATTCAATTGTGTTCGCGTTTTGAAACCTCACAGCATAAAACAGATTCATAATATATGGGAAGAAAACTTGAGGACTATTATTTTTCATAACCATGATAATCCGTGACATATTTGCGTAGTAATGTATACACGTATGAATGAAAGTAATTTGGTTCTGAAAGACTGTTTAAATTACCAAATTTCGTACCAAGAACTTGATTTTGTAACTTTTTTTGCGCCTTTCATGCATACAGAATTATGAAACAATAAACCTTTCAGATTTTTTAAACTTCGATTGGTGGGGGGGGTCAGCCCATCATACTACTTGTATCTACATATAACGCTAAAGAAAGGGCGTGTAATTCCCCTAAATAGGAACTGAGCCTGTGATTCCGAAGTTGGAATGGTCAAAACTTGGTATATATTAGAGTGAATAGCCATTGCGCAACAAAAACTGTATACTGTTAACTTAATATATAAAATTGTCCTCAGAATTAAATCTTATTATACTGACAAGCAAGCAATATTAACGTGCTTGTGTGTTATGTATGTTGGTATCTATATGCTCACAATAGCCTGTCTAACTTGTCAAAATTCCAATGTTTACTGTGTGTGTTCAACTGGGATACCCAAAGTTCTCTATAAGGGGTTACAATAATGGATCACTTAAAGGGAAGAGTATCTTCTCATAGTTTAACAAGAAAGAAGTTTGCTGTACAAATTCGTACAGCTGAAGTACTAAACTAGGGATCAAAACACTATTGTCCCCAGAGTTGATGTGAGAACTTTGTTCCTATTTACTTATCCATTAAATCACAACTGTTGCCAGCCTGAACTGTAATGTTACTCCGTTAATTTGATGCAAACTGACTGTAGAAGTGGCACATTTTTTATATCTGAGCAACAATATCTTACTGCAAGTGCACAAGCAATTCCCTTTTGATACATAACTTACCATACTCTACTGCGCATTGTGGTGTCCCAATTCCTACTGTCCCAATCCACATGAAGCTAAAATTCAGTACTCACTGGGGCGCAATATTTACATCAATTAAACTGTCATAAAGTAATTAAATTACAGTCTTAATAAATGTTAAGTCATCCTTGTGATTTGTCATGGAAAAGACCTCTTTATTCACGAGGTATATAATGGTACAGGATTTCAGAACAAACTGTTTTTGTTCCCAAAACAAGTTAATGAGCATATGAATTCTAGTGCTGCTGATAGGTGCAGTAACATTATTAGCAAAGGACTAATAATATAAATTCAGCTGCCAAAGCAGCAATTTATTTTTTCAGTAATTTGGGTTGCACTACAAGTTTCAACCCTTAAAAGGGTCATCTTCAGGTGTTTCCAGTTAAACATTATTAATTACTGAAATGCAACATGAGATCCCTATATTCCTACTTACATACATAGTCCATAAAATGGCTACTTACTTACTTATGTAGCCGAGCTCTTCTTGAGGAGATGCCAAATCTGCATCTACTCAAGAATTTCCCAGCATTTTATGGAAACCGAAGGTTCAGTACCGTGTTCACAAGAGCCCTCCACTGATCCCTATCCTGAGCCAGACAAATCCAATCCATCCCATCCTATTTCTCTCAGATCCATTTTAATATTGTCCACCCACCAACACCTTCGTCTTCCCGGTGGTACTTTTCCTTCTGGCTTTCTCACCAATATCCTATATGCACTCCTCCTCGCCCCCATTCATGCTACATTCACTGCCCACCTAATCCTGTTTGACTTGATCATTATAATTATACTTGGAGAAGAGAACAAGTTATGAAGCTCCTCATTATGCAGATTTCTCCAACCTCCTGTCACTTCACCCTTCTTCAGTCAAATATTCTCAACACCCTCAGTTTATGTTCCTCTCTTAATGTCAGAGACCAAGTTTCACACACATACAGAACCACAGGCAAAATTATAGTTTTGTATACGCTAATTTTTATGCTTTTGGACAGCAGACGAGAAGACTGAATGGTAGCAAGCATTACCAGAGTTCAATCTCCTCTTAATTTCCTCCTGAATAAGGTTTTGTTTTGTTATCGTCGTTCACAAATATCTGAACTGTGCCACATTTTCAATAAAGTGGCTACACTCATGTTTACTTACATACTATTTAGTGGATACCGACTCATATTAAATATTAAACCTGGGCCCTCAAGCGGTTAGTCGCTGGCTTCCCACCTCGGCGGCCTGGGTTTGATCCCAGGTCTGGTCAAGTGGGATTTGTGGTGGGAAAAATGGCGCTGGGGCAGGTTTTCTCTGAGTACTTCGGTTTCCCCTGCCAACCTTCATTCCACCAATTGCTCCACAATCACCCTCACCTATCATCTGGGGCTGGTACAATAGGCCAGAAATGGCTGCAGTACAAGGGACTTAGTCCCACCCCACTAACAATAAAAAAAAATTAACAATTCTTTTGATTATTAAAATTATTTTTTTAACTTGTAGTTTTCTCCAAGTATAATTAGAATGATCAAGTCAAGGAGGATGAGGTAGGCAGGTCATGTAGGACGAACAGGGGAGGAAAGGTATGCATATAGGATATTGGTGGGAAAGCCAGAAGGACAGAGACCACTGGGAACACCAAGGCGTGGGTGGACAATATTAAAATGGATCTTAGATAGGATGGTATGGATTGGATTCATCTGGCTCAGGATAATGAACCTTTGGGTTCCATAAAATGCTGGGAAATTGAGTAGCTGCAGATTTGGCTTCTCCTCAAAAAGGGCTCAGCTCCATAAGTAAGTACTAATATTAATTTAAAAATTGCTGAGATATGATCGGCTTTGTGTCTTGAGCTGCAGTAGACCTCGCTTGGCCTTCTCAAATTCCTGTACTACTTGTGCCACCTCAATGTGCTGTTATTGCCACGAGCAACCTTCTTGAGAACTACTGATCTTATTTTTATATGTTTTTCTTCTGTAATTATTGGATCAATGGTTAATGTTGTTTTTTTATACCGTCTAGTTTTCGCGGTATACTTAAAGCACAACAGATCACTGTAGGTCGCGGTGCAAGGGCCGAGAAGGCCCGCCCCTTATACATATTGCTGCATGGTCTAATACCTGTATTATTACTTGTACTTCATAACAGGATGCAACAATAAAAATGAAAACAAAAAAATGCAGCAAGCTACATGAAATATTATGTAAATGATGTAAACTTTACAACTGTAGGATATGGAATTGCTTTCAGGAGCAAACAAGCCAGCAAATGTATCAAATGACATTCAAGAATAGAAAAAGCCTTAGAAGCACACTTAAACGTCGATCTTGAGCCACTCCACAGCTCAAGCAGTTAGTCGCTGGCTTCTCATTGCAGAGGCCTGGGTTCGATCCCGGGTCTGGTCAAGTGGGATTTGTGGTCGACAATGTGGCGCTGGGGCAGGTTTTCTCCAAGGTCTTCGGTTTCCCCTGCCAATCTTCATTCCATCAATTGCTCCACAATAACCCTCACCTCTCATCTGGGGCTGGTACAATAGGCCACAAGTGGCCGCAGTACAAGGGACCAAGTCCCACCCTACTAGTAATAATAATAATAAAAAAAAATAAACATGGATCTTGAATTGCGAGACGACAAAGCCTTGGAAAGGACCAATGATAAACTACTGAAGAAGATGGGTTTATATTATTTATTTCATATCCATCTATAAAAAGATTACATAATTTAAGATATCTAGTTCTATATGCATGAATACAATCAACTAACACTCACTACCCTGTTATTCTTTTCTGTGTCAACACACAAAGTAAATGCACAAGTCACACACAGTCAGTATGGCCATACATATCTGGAGGTGATGATTTATGTATAAGTACATTGCACGGAAGTCAAGAAGTGCGTATATGGCTTACATTTAGTGCAGGCTATATTCCTCTCATTGAAACTATGTACAACTGCACAGTCTCTCATTACTGAGGAGGACGTGGTATCAACATCATGCCAATCCCTAAATATTAACTGAGGAATCCCATGTGAATGAGTTCAGCAAGTTGTCTGACAAACAGCTGACCCCACATTTCAGAATGCTATAAAATACAATACATGGCAGATACATACATCTATAATAATACTGAAGTTTTAAGTAGTTAATCTCTACATGTAAATCTGCCACTCTGTCTTGTACAACCACTGAGAAAGTACATAAGGGAGAAACACTTTGCATCATAAATTATGGATGTTACTTGGTGATTGTCTAACATCTGCAAACAGTTTGTATTCTGAAACGTCATGGTGGAGAATGGAATGAAATAAATTGTTTTATTTCACATTTATATGAGAAAAGTGGTTTTCCATGAATCAAAAAAGATGTGTAGTTTTGACACCAAAGCTTTTATCTCACAAACATACAACAATTAGACTCTATACAGCTAAATTACTATGAATATAAATACTTGAATACATATATATGATGAAGAGTAACTAGCTACTCCTAACAAATAATCAAGATTAGCCATCACTGTTGCACAGTATGAAGTACACCAGATGTGATTCATGATGATAAAAAAAAACAGCAGTGACATTTATATATATATATACCAATGAAATGGACACTATCAATTTCAACATTATCATCACAGTAATTAAACGTTTTCATACCATATTATAAATCACACATTCATCAATATAACACATTAATTCATTAAGTCATTCCCCATCACAAGGAACTCAAGTCATTCTGTAAGACAAGAAATGTTCAACAATAAAAATATCAGTAACCAATTCATGACAGACCCGATGTGGTTTAACAAACCGCCATCCTGTACCTCAAGCCAAGAGCTGGAAGGTGCAAACAAAACAGAATGCAAAAAGGTGATAATTGTGATGCCTGAGTCACAGTTACCCGCTCTCCACTACATAGCAAGAGAGACACAGCTGACAACCTCAACCTCAGTTTGGAAGTAAGAAACACAGTGAATGTATGTAAGTTTTGAGGTTTTCACGGTGATGACCATGAAGAAAGTAGTCTTGTGGGATCTGGCGCCGTGTATTCTTGGTTTTAACCGACGTTTCGGAGGAACATATCGCTGCAGCTACTGCTCTCTGTATTCACAACGCAATTCAACTGCCCTGAAGAAGGAGGCGATATGTTCCTCTGAAACATCGGTTAAAACCAAGAATACACGGCGCCAGATCCCAGAAGACGACTTTCTTCACAGTGAGTGTATGATTGGACAAAATGCTGGCAGAAACAAAAATGAAGTGGTCCATTTGAATCTAATTTTTTATATGATTACATAACATTCAATCTATGGTTGTACAATGTTACTATCAGGATTACATGACGTTATGCTCTGCTGACAGCAGAACAGCTGCACAAGAGATGTTCTAACTCCTAGGTGAAACCACCTATTTCTTAAATGACTGTTCTGTCAATAAGGGTGTGGAAATTTTGAAAATGATCTTAGATTAAGGAGGTTACACGTTGTCCTCAATAATGCCCAATGCTTACTCAGGAATTTGGGCATGTGATTTTGGGAGCCTTCCCTTCTATCTCCATGTCATTCTATTCCATAATTGCAAACAAAAACTTGGCAATAACTATTAAGTTTACAGATCATAAATTTCGCCAGATATCAATATATGAACATGTAAATTACTTGCACTTGTGTCACCATCAGTGGGATAATACAATTCACTATCGCACATTTAAATGCTACTGAAGATCCAAATTCTATGTTTACCTATATCCTGACCTCCCAACTTTATCCAAGCAAGTGCTTCAATTTCAACTATAATACTGATTATGAAATAACTTTCCGTACAATCAACAATAATGCTGGAATACAACCTAAGACACAACTCTTACTTCACAAACCTATGCTCTCCACGGAAAATAGTGTGGCAAATTCTTAATCCTTAAAAGCACGGCTTCTTTGTTCAACTTCTAGGGACATCCTTCCATGTGTGACACCTTAAATAAATCTTTTATGGAATGCAATTCGTGCCATGACAGATAGTATCTCACAGATTACTATAACTACTCTTAAAATTGTCATGTGTGCTTTGTCCAACCCCATCACAGCTACATTTGCCAAACTACAACTAGAGTATAAAGCTCTCACCACATTGCCAGTAATGTAATTCACACTGCAGTGAAGAAAAAATGAAGTGATGAGTGGCATGAATTTCATGGCCATAACTGAAAGGAATTTTGAGGAACAGAAAGATCAACATGGCTATAAAATAAAAGGATCAGAATTTGAGTAGGAGATTACCCAGAATGGGCAGCATCTGAGCAAACTCAACACAAATCCACGTGAAATGCACTCAACGTGGACCACTGCTCATATTTTGTACTTCATCTCACAATATTTAAACCACAATAGTCCTGTGCTAAAATTTTCTCAGCCAACAGGCGTGTCAAAGTTGAACTAAAAGCCAACAGTTCAGAGATTTCCTCAGCCTCCATCATCAGGGTTTATGTGATGAATGACCGCATATCACTTATATTTATACCAGTTTGTCATATTGATGCCTCTTCCTGTTGGTGTACAATGCAGTAGCAGTTCGGAGTCAAACTGAGGTCACCCATTCAACTCTAGCCTTTCACAGTGGTGCTTAACCTGGTGTCTGTGTTGCCAAACAATTTTTTTCATGCTCATCTCAGGATTTTTGTGATGTATGTGCTTTGCATGGGGCTGAAACTTGGACACTTAGGGCAGTAGATCAGAAACACCTGGAAAGCTTCGAAATGTGGTGTTAGAGAAGGATGGGGAAGATCAATTGGACCGATTATGTGAGAAATGAAGAAGTGTTATTTAGGAGCAGAGGAATATACTACACGAAATAAGAAAACAGAAGGCTAATTTGATTGGTCATATCTTACGTGGTAACTGCCTTCTAAAATAAGTTACTGAAGGAAAGATAGAGGGGCAGATAGAAGTGACCAGAAGATGAAGAAGAAGACGGAAGAAGATTCTGGATGTCCTTGGGGACAGAAGAGGATATTTTCATCTGAAGGAGAAAGCTCTAGATCACATCAAGTGGAGGAACTGTTTTGGAAGAGACTGTGGACCTGTCGTCTTGACAGATTACAGATGAATGAATGAATGTGATAATAAACTGGTGCTGGGATTCCATGCTTTGCTGAGTATGAACCCTGCTTCTCTCCTTATACTGTCTGGGAGTAATTTCATTTCTGTTACTTCTTTTATAAATCCCATGTAGCCTGACATTCCGGCTAGTACTTCATCTCATAGAACTTGATCCGGTAGCATGATTCCATGAGACTGAAGTACCAGCCAAAACATCTTGCTACAAGGACTGACTTATCAAAGCACCAGGTTACGCAGCACTGTGAAAGGCTAGAGTTGGATGGGTGACCGCACAGTTTTACTCCGCCCAGAAGGAAGGGGCATCGATTTGACAAACTGATACAAATATCAGCAATATACAGTCATTCACCACACAGACCCTGATGATGGAGACTGAGATCTCTGAAGCACTGTTTTTATTTCAACATTGATACAGCTGATCACCTGTCAAAATTTTACCGCATTTATTCACTGTGAAAGCTTCAAATCTTACACATGAATTCTGCTCACATATACTTTGAGATGAAAGTCTAGGCTAAAGTCTGAGTGAGGTTTAATGGGATTTATTGAGTTTTCTTGGGTCTTGGAAATGCAGACTGTAAATCAGCTATTAGCAGGCATTTCATTGGCTATGAAACATTTATCAAATGTGAATACCAAAGATGTTTCGAGTAAATGCTTTTTCTTACGCTTAAAACACGAAGTTTGATTCTCATGACAAAAAATTTACAGTTATTACCAGCTTAGGAGCCAGTGTTATCTGATGTGTATGAATTAAATCCATGGGAACTCCCACCTCACCATGTTAGGGGCTGAAACTTAAACGCTCCCATGTGAAAGGGCTAAAGCACTACAACTTGAACACAATAATAATGTGGCATTGCAACAGATAGAAGAAATTAGGGGGAACACTCAAGACTGATTTACCCACAGCAGAAAAGCTCAATGAAAGAGATAATTGTAAATCCAGGACACATCTTGTAATCATTCAAGCATATGGGTGTATCTAATTTATATAGTAATCAATTAATTAGAGTTCAATTCAATTTTAAGAATTCATATTTTTTGTTGATTAATAGAGCTCCCTAGTATGAGAAACATAATTAGCATGTCTTTGCCACCAGAGATAAAGAGGTTTTCTTAGAACCTTTACTTCCGCCGCAGCAGTAAAGCACTTTAATGTGCAAGTGTTAAAAACGCGTGTTTCAAGCTGACAATGTCAGACCATATATAGAATTAATGCCTTGGCATGGCATGACAGCAAACTGACAGCCAATTGTATTAGAGGGCGTAAATAATTGACTAGTATAAAAATTAAAGACAGTTCCAAATTTAAAATGAAAACAAAACAGAAGTCAAATTTTGTAAACAAACACAATCTAAATTCTTATAGCGTCATAACAGTACAAGTGCCAACTCAATTGGGTATAGGTTCCCACTGTGTACAAATGTGCACACTTCATATCTGTGAAGAAGTAGCTTTAAGATGCTTGTAAATCAGACAGACATGAATATTGCCTTACAAAATTTAAAAGTATTAGAATGAAAACAATGACTTTATAAGAAAATGAAAAATCATGCAGGTGATGGCATAAGTGTGCAAGATTAATGCAATAAATAATGACTTCATGGTGTTCATCTTTGCCTGCCCAAGCAAGGCCTAAAACAACCCTGAGACAGAAAATCAGTTCATACCAACATAACTAGAGCTAGTGAGCATGATGAACCCTGGAGGATCAACAAGTGGATACCATCACAAGAACGGCAAAGTCATTGTGAGAAATTTGATTTTGATAAGTGGCAGTACTGATACATAAGTACAGGCTCACCCAGTCTTCTATAATTTCAAAATCATCATATTAATTTTCTTACACCATATCATCACGCCTCCAACAAAAGGAAACCTCAAATAATATAAAATGACATGATTGATTACAGTTAAAAATGTCATCCTGCACCTCAAGCCAAGTTTTGTAGGGTGTACACAAAACAAAAACACTTTGAACTATGCTCGAACAGTAAAATACATTCACAGTTGGAGACTAACGGGTAAACTCAAGGTTACCAAATTTTGTCTTATATCAAATACTCAATTTTACATTACATTTACAGGAGAGACTACAGCAGAATTAGGTGTGATTCTGTATGTGTGTACTAAGCTGCATTCTGCTGGGAAACAGCCAGATACTACAAGAAGTGTTTAACCTTCAGGTGAACAAACCTACTTTTTACAGGAAAAGGTTCCTTGTGGCGAAGGGGATTATAAATTGCTCAACATTTTTGTTATATGTTTGAGAATGTCATTTTAGGAGCATGCAATAATGCACAAATACTTTTCAACCAATAAGAATATGCAGAACTTTAGCCCAGTAACAGCAAAACAAATGAACTAATTTTAGATTTGGACAATGGCATATGATATCAACCCTTTACATAATCCGGATCAACATTTATTCAGGGAATGTGGTGTTTAATTTTGGACACCCCCCCAACCAGACTAGGCATACAGTCACACTAAGCAATCAACACACCAATTTAGCTACCTATCATGGCGGAATATGTGACCTGTATAACCATAATAGGTAGGGCAAAATAATAACACTTCCATACACTTCTATCTGCTACTGTATTCTCATATTTTTATTAAGCACTATAATCATGCCTAAATGCCTGCTGCAAATCCATGGTCTCTCAACTGATCAGCCACAAAATGGTGCATCCAATGTTCAGCCACAGATGGCAAGAGTTAACCAAACTACTACAGATCAGTGTCATACCAAGCTGCCACCTGATTGTTGTCTTGCGGGGGCTGAGGCAGCTCATCAAGATGGTCAAAGTTGAGGTCAGAGGAATCTGGTCCACCCACATCCATGGCATCCATGGGTCCATATGTGGAGCCCCCTGCACCACCCGCTCCATGATGAGAACCAATCTCCAAGCCTTGCATAGAATCTATTGGTATCTGGTCATAACCTAAGGGACGGTTGCGCGAAGCAGAGAAAAATCCATTAGGCTTATCGGCTACAAGGATGAGTCAAAGTATACATAAATACTAACTTAAGAAATTAAGGCACACTTTTATAACTCATTACATAGTAATTTTTACATATATAAATGCAAGGGAAATTAATAAATATGAACACAGAAGGCATGCAAATTATGTGTTCTGACACAGAATAGTACAACACTTTTAAACTTACAGAGCAGTACAACATTTAAATTTAAGGTTTTAAAAGGAAACACAGAAGCCACTTGCATCCAAGCAACAAGCAAGCAAAAAGGTGTTGGCAGTAAGTGTTTTAGTACAATGAAAAGCAGTAATTACACTTGTGTGAATTTCTAAGCAGGGTTCACAGTGTAATGAAAGTGACACACATCTTCTGTTAACATCTGACTCTTACAGGGCTTATTTCCACTGCCTAGTTTTAGATGCTTATAATACATGTTACCTTTCTTCAGGAGATCTTAAATTACAAACTTTCAAAATAAAATCTCAGGAAAAATATTTAACCTAACAGAAATGAGGCAAGTGGAAAATTTAGGAAACGTTTATGCTAGACTTTGATTTACCGGATTCGCGCTTCTCACGGCAGTGACAGTGAAGAGTACTGTCTTCTGGGAAGAGCTACTGTGTAGTCTGAAGGAAGCTACCAACATATTGGCAAGAATGCACTTGTTGCTTCTTGTTCATTTCGCATACTTTATGACCATGACGATGAAGGGAATACATTCCTCTGAAATGCCAGTGAACTTCTTTCTACTAGACTACATGGCTTCATTTCCCAAAAGATTGTACTCTTCAAAGATCTCATATGTTCAAGTAAATTCCAACTTGCTTCCATAACAGATACACTTAGGCATGTGTGAGTCTTTAATTGAGAAAATATCTCTATCTTGGACAGAACAGTAACTTTTCATTCCTGAACTCCAAAAATGTCCTGATAGCTGCTTTCACTTTGCACGTGTAGGTCCTGTCTAAAAGGGACGAGTATTGTATTTACCCAAGTGGAAGATGAGTTTCTTCTGGCCCCTTTCTCAGGGTTAAAAAATCTATGCATCATCATGTATGTACATTTCATGTTTTAAATCTGTTTGAAGCTTTTGGTGTGTTCACAGTACAAATCGCACCTTGCTCTACTGTACCATGTGCAACGTGCAAGTGAGAAAGTGACAGACAGAAATATGTTTCAAGGTTAGAAGCTACAAGGATGTCCAAAGTGCTATCAAAGTTACAAAACAAAAGTAGTAATTCAACAATTTATGTCACAAGATTCTGTGCTAACGCAACTGCTGCTCAATATAAGAGAGGCAAGTTATGCCAAGGAAATATCAGTGTAAACAGGAAAAACACATCAGGCACTGCAGTTACGGTTTGTACTAACAGACTACTGTGATCAAACATGAAAAACAGACAACTGTGAAGCGGCAAGAAAATACAGCATCCCCTAAGTCAAAAATTTGAAAATCGAAAATAAGAGTAACTGAAACTAATCAATTCTATGCAAAAACTGTCATTTGCATACATTCAAAGACAGAATAGAATGTCAGTCTCATGCAACATTACTCAACATGAGGCTGAAATTTTAAGTCCATGTAAGGGTGGTGTGTACAAATGATGCAGAGAAGAAGTTTTCTTCTTGTTGAAGGTCTTTCTTATGCAAGAAGTTACCAACACATTTCAATGAAATGTTAGTGTATTTCAATTTGCCATCCAATTATATCATCAGTGATATAGGTGCAGCATCTGTTGTCATGAAATCATCAGGCAATAAAAAGATGAAAGTGACTAACACTGACTGAGTTGGCAGACAGCTCTACACTACCACTATGTGTGATAGCGAATCCAAAGAAACTATACCTAAGGCACAGCAGACGCCTATGGGGCTAACTAAGGGACACATGGCTAAATGAACCAATGGAGGCCTGGTTACGTGTTGTCTTGAGCAGGGGACGAAGACTATTGTTGATAAAAGCAGGAATACTTGTAGTTGGATGCACCTGAATATCATTAACACTGGATGCAAGATCTGTGATTCATGCAATGAATAGTGACTGTGTGGTCAAATCTGGAGAAAGAAGCCTTTTTAATAAACATTTGAAACAACTGTGCTCCAATGCCTCATGGAAGGGGACTATGTTCTGACACCATGGAAACAATAAAGATGCCCAGTGTAAAAGGAATGTGAGAGTGGATCACGACCATGGCAACAGAGCTCTCTCCAGAAGTGATGGTCAGAAGACTTAAAGCTCAGACATGAAATAGGAACAGTGAGCAGAGACTGTAAGGCTGAACAGAGGCTATTACTTCAAGAAGGAAACTAACTCAATACATTCGATGCATAACATGTTTTCCAACATTTATTTTCTTTCACATTTTTAAAGTTAAGATCAGAAATTAATTCATAAAATTACTTTTTCTCTATAAAACATGTTCTCTAGTGCAAGATCATCTCACATTTAGAATAATCTATCATTCGGGTAAATATCGTCCTACGTGATTTGATTTGTGTGAGCAGTCGTTAAGGTACAACTTCTTGAGCTTGTAGAATGTAGGTGTGCTACAGTCAGTCTTTCATAGATGTCACTTCTATACATTATGATCAGTGCACTATGTGAAAGGTTGTTACTCTTTAAAAATTATTACAGAGAAAAAACTGGTCTACTAGAGAAAATTTTTACTGTCTAAGTTTTTGGAAGACTGAGAGACTCATTCTCACACATGCCTGGTAAATCTTTTTAATATAGCATACACACACAGTAATGTCTGTTGTTGCATTGAAAAACCGAAGAGTTCCTCAAAATTAAAATTTGGGGAACAAAAAACTGAAGATGAAGTTAAAATAAATTTCACTGTTCTGTACTCGACCTGCTACAATAGGGATATCTGACAGGAACATTAAAGAACACAGTTTCTAAACAACCGCTGGAGAAAAAAAAGTGTAATGTCTGCAACGCAAATTTGACATAAGTGATATGAGACAGGGAAGTATCACTATAGACATATCAAAGGCAACACAGTACATCCCTTGTCCCTTTCACATTCATTACTACAGTAGTTAAAATATTCATTCATCTGTTACTGACAAGAACAGAGAGGATATTCTGTACAATTCTGAACCTCTTACTGGCTAGTGCAGATTTACTGCAGCCACACTGAATGCTGAACATTTGACAGATGTCTGGCACATTTGGTTTCAACACCATGAATAATAATCACCATATAAATTATATATTTTAGAAGTATTTTGATATGAAGCCCTTCTTCATTCATTTCCATGGACGTTACTGTATCAAAAGTACAAATGAAATGAACTTAAGAAATCTGTCATATACTGACTGAATTCTGATGTATTTTCCTTCTCACATAATACAACATATAGTAATCCTGGACAAGTCCTGCTGATGACATGAAATAAACATCCAACTGTCCACTATATGTACACATGCCTTTTCTCTGTCCATGTTAAGAAAACACAATGCCTGGGACGAGCATCAAAGATGATAATGTCACTGGAAGTTAGACAGAGAAAGGATGGTCAGTTGATCAATAGCCGGCACCTGAACATACCTTGCTGCTGGTAAGGCCTGCCGCCATGACTGCTATGTACACTAGGTGGTCCCTGCCCATACATACCATCATACCCCTGGTCAGGGCCAAGCATATCCTGCAATGGGGTATCAAAGCAAAAAAAAAAAAAAAAGCCACACCATATACAAAGTGCAACAATCACACCAGACGTGCTAAAAATTACAAAATAAAAGGAGAAATTAATTTTATTTCCCCCAAATCTGCACCATGGATTAAGATTCTTACCTCTGGTGCAGCTGAGAGTGAAACTAAATAAATCTTAAAGCTACTGTGATATAATGCATGGTGATTATCTAAGTGCATGATTGTCAACTGAGTGGATAAAAACAATTCACAATTTCACCAATGAAAAAATATAAAAATAAAATCAGATATATATATTCAAAGAATAACATTTCTAATCTTCAAAGACAACTGATATATATATATATGGTATGATCATGCTTTGCATAACTAATAACATTCAAAATTCATAATTCAAGGGTATTCAAGAATTAAATATCTAATGCAAATATTGATACACTACTATACAAAACTCATGCAAATTCTAAAAATGATTAAAAAATATCACCAAAGGCAACTGCAAGTAACTCTGTATAAGGCTGTGATAAAATGGTGCATTTTGAATCTGTAAACATACAAGGTCTGATCAAAAAGTGACAAAACTAAACTCAGATCTCAGACGAATCATACTGTGTAGTGACACAGCTGCGGTGAACACCTCCCAACATGTTACTGCATACTGGGGCACAGCTCCATGAGCATTAAGTTCTGAGAGAAGATAAAAAAATGGCAACTGAAGTTTATAAACTGAGGTAATGGCACATGGAGATGCAACAATGATCAAACAACACATTTACAGTACATCTATCTAAAAATGCAACAATTATACTATCAAAAATGATCAATCTGTAGATCAAATGCATGATTTAGCATGAAATGATGAACCATTCGTGACATGGCTGAAGAGAGAGTAAATTCATAAGGCTTATGCAGGTCATTTAATTGTAGATTCAGGAACAATGTGTGACACATTAGCCTTGTTCCATTACTGCTGATAGAGAAGTAGAAAGAACACCACTCGCCTGTGCTTTTGACTTTCTGAAGTGCAGAAACCAATGAAAATGTCTTACAACCATATAAAATATTTGGTTGAGGCACTATGCTACAAGCTGGAAGGTTGTGGGTACGAGTCCCGATGAGGTGGATTTTTTAAATTGACCAAATTCTTCCAGCTACACTAGAGCCCTGGGGTTGATTCAACCTCTAACAGAAATGAGCACCAAGAATCTTCCTTGGGGGGGGGGAGTTAAGGCTGACAACCTTACTGCCATCTGTGAGCTGGTTGTCTGGATAATGTGGGACTCTCAACATCTTACAACCCTATGGGCCTCCATGGCCTGTTACAGGGATAACTTTACCTTTTTTATAATATAAGAATACTAAGGAGAAATAATCACAATGGAAAACCTATTCCTTCCAACAACTGAAAAGGCACACCATGTAAATAGAAAAATAAAGCAATGGTAACTGTTTTCTGCTGTCACAAGGGTGCTGAGTATGTTCCATAAGGCAGACTATTAACCCTTACACTGTTAATGGTGTCCTTGCTGCGATCGACAAAACTCGTATTGTGACTTTAGAGTTTCAAATCTCAGGTTTCTTTGCACCAGTCTCATTCAAACTTGGTGGGTGCATAGAGTCATCTATTGGGAATGTAATGAAGCACCAATCATTTCAATGGCCGTATTCTTCTGCCATCTAGCGTAAGAAATGTAAAAGGTTGCATCTGCACAGCGAGGCACTCACTCCGTGGTCGTGTGACACAGGTATTTCACAGGGCTAGTAAAAATTGCTTCATATAGTGTGTGGTGCTTTCTATAATAGTTTTAAATAAAGTGGTGGACTTTGATCAACATGTGACATAGTGATAAGACTAGGATAGTGAATGATGTACTTTTTTGGCCATCTTGGACAACCCTCATTTTAATGGACTTTTCCCCTGTGAAAAATACTCAATAATTCAACATTTTTACAACTTATGCTGCCTGTTCCCTGTCTGAGGTAAGATTAGTTACATTTTATCACAAATTTTCATACTTTGCACTTAAAATATTTATAAAAGATTTATTAAAAAAATAATTCAGCACAGAGGGTACTAAGAGTTACTTAACATACTAGCAGTGAAAGGGTTAATCAACAATTTTACAATTGTTGAGATGTCTTTGTGAATGTCTCCAAAAATTGGAATACAGAGAATGGTAAATTCACTAAAATTGGCCTACTCAACTCCTACTGTGTGGGGTAATTCCTTTAACACAGCACTCACTCTACAAGAGAGGCAGCTTCTGTTAACTCCCCAAACACTGTATGGTTCCCTGTGGCTTGTACATAACTCCAGAAGTTTGCAGCAAACATGAGCATGATGATGCAGCCTAATCCCAATAGCTATATGTCTGATTTCACAGATTTTGTCTCCAAACTTTCTGATCAGGCCTTGTAGTCAGGATGAATCTGATCCTTCAGAATTTAAACACTCAAATGGCCATACAAAACACAGAAAGCAATATACTATACGAGGAACAATGCATGAATGTACATGGCAGTACAACAAAACACTCATAATCTTTGTAAGAATTCTCACCTATGAGCCAATCCGAAGCTTCAAACTTTAACCACGCAAAAGTACATAACATGATGGTATTACCAACTCCAACGAAACTAAGTTCAGAAGCAACAGAAAAGCACAGCAGAAAGCATACCTGTAAATCTGGACCCATCCCAAGATCACCTCCATTCCACAGATTCTGGTCTTCACGGAAAAGAGAATTGGTTAATTCCATGGATAACCTCTTCTTGTAATCCTGTGGCTTATCTTCTGACATTCGGAATAACACAGCTGCAGCATATGTTGCTAAGAGGAAAGAGGATTGGAAAAATATGAGTTCAGTGAACTGTTACTTTGACATTATTCTGCATTCTAAAATCGTTTTGTAATTCAGCTTCACTCACTCACTCACTCACTCACTCATGGGACTGAGCGCTTCTTGAGAAGCCGTAAATTGTGCAGCTACTCAAGAACTTCCCAGCATTTTCTGTAACCCACAGGTTCATTACAGTGTTCACAAGAGCCCTCCACTGGTCCCTATCTTGAGCCAGATGGATCCAGTCCACACCATCCCATCCTATATCTCTTCCTCTCCTCTTTTGAATTAAGATTCATTTTAATATTGTTCACCTACCTATGTTTTGGTCTTCCTTGTGGTCTCTTTCCTTCTGGCTATCCCACCAATATCCTATATGCATTCTTCTTCTCCCCCATTTGTGCTACATGCCCTGCCAATCTCATCCTCCTTCACTTGATCATTCTAATTATATTTAGTGAAGACTACAAGATATGAAGCTCCTCATTATGTAGTTTTCTCAAACCTCCTGTCACTTCGTCTCTTTTCGATCCAAGTATTCTCCTCAGCGCCCTGTTCTCAAAACACCCCAATCTGCCAGCTTCCTGGCCCTTTTATATTGCTTTGTTGCCAGCAAATGGGAAAACACTGCCCCCAATAGTTCCTTGACTGCTGTCTGTGTATGCTGCTGTTGGGGACTGGTTGTGTGGCACACAGCTCAGCAGGATTGATGCACCTTCACCCATGATTTCCTGTTAGGCACACTGTGACAGTAAATAAATGATCAGCTCATTCTATTTCAAACTCTCCAACATGCATTTAGAGTTTCTTGTCACCTCTGATACTATAAGAATGACATCCTCAAGTAGGAATGAGATCAAACTAGTATTTGATAGCGACTCAGAAATAACCAAGGAAAACTATGACAAAAACAGATGAGAAGGATGATGACATAAAGGGACAAGCTCCATGTCAACACCACTGAGAAATATACAAGCAAAATCCTGTTAATGAACCAGTTAGCTGGGGGTGTTCAGAAAGGATATATGACACTTCTGACGATAACATGATTCCAACCCCACTTGCTACACAAGGGATATCAAAGTGGGCACAAGTGATGGGTAATACACACAACATCCATCTATTCACTGGTGACATGACTGGAGACAGAATGTAGCACCCAACATAAGTATTCTACTCAACTACAAACAGTGTTTTCACACTGTATTGTCCCTCAATTGTTGTAGAGGCATGTTCACTGCACATAGCAATGGTCACGGCATGGACCACAGAAAACACTGTTCTTCTACTGCTGTGTGCATGTTTCAGGTGTTACCTAGCAATGGCTGCTGCTTACAGTCGCCACCTAGCAACAAGTCTATATAAAACAAAACTTACCCCAAAACACACAAATGTTTTGGAACAAAAATTTATAAATTATGACATTTATTTAGGGAAGGACAGGACATGTGCGTCCAGAGAAATGATAGCAATACACACAGCTGTGAAACATCTATACATGGACAACTTCCTTTCATTGCTCAACTTATTTGATGATCTGCCAAAACAGAAAATCAATTCTTGTGAGCCAGTTCAAGCTAGCAGAAAGAGCAGGCTACCAAACACGTGACCAAGAAACCAATGACTGAAACCAGGCAATCTTAATTCTAGGACAGAAGATGATTTTCCGGCAATGGTGTGAAGAGTTGTGACATTTATAGGCATTGCCAAACATGCACACTCCACTAACAAATGGTAGCTTCCATGATGTGCATGGAAATGCTATAAAGTCAAAAATCATACATGTCCACAGCTGACATTCGGTGTATGTAGACAAAGGGGTCAAAATGGTGAGCAACTAAACAGTAGAACACTGGACATGGAAGTGGACAGAGAAATTATTTTCTCACTTGCTGGTCTTCATATGAATGTGGTGCCAGAATGACTCACACACAGTTCAGACTTGCCCTAATGTGCCTTAGCTGATTCAATTCATTAAAAAAAAAAAAAACATAAATTTCTGTGCTTTTATTAATGATGCATTAGTGTTCTGCGAAATAGAGTGTAGCTGGGGGTTCTTCACCAATCCATCATATTCCGTGAGAGGTATACTATTTTTTTTATTGCTAGTGGGTTGGGACTAAGTCCCTTGTAATGCGGCAACTTCTGGCCTATTGTACCAGCCCCAGCTGATAGGTGAGGGCAATTGTGGAGCAATTGGTGGAATGAAGATTGGCAGGGGAAACCGAAGTACTCGGAGAAAACCTGCCCCAGCGCCACTTTGACCCCAGGGCCACAGTGCAGCTGGAAGAATCAGTCAATTGAAAAAATCCAATGACCTCATAAGGACTTGAACCCGCGACCTTCCGGCTTGTAGCATAGTGCCTCAACCAACTACGATACCGGGTGCCCTCTTCCTATGTATAGTAATAAAAATTTAAATATTGTCGTGTCTCCTGGTAATGCGAGAAGAAATTTATGGATTCCGGATAAGACAAAACTGTTTATTGGATAAGTGGTTTACAATTGCATTTACAATCACTCAGAAATGTCTTGCAGGTGATGCCATCTGGCTAGTCTGTATTCTTTTGGTTCATAGCCAAGCTGGTTTCTTCTGCTTTCAGCTCTGCTCCATTCAAGGCCACTGCATTACTCTTTCACAAAATGTAGTTCTTACAGTAAAATCTATAATTAGTAGCTAGGAAATGCGGTGGAAGATTATGTATTTCAGCCATTTCTGTATATTACAAATACCCGTTAGAATGAATAATTTTATGAATTTTATATATTCTTCTGATTAAGTCAAGAAGGATGAGGTGGGCAGGGCATGTAGCATGAATGGGGGAGAAGAATGCATATAGGATATTGGTGGGAAAGCCAGAAGGAAGGAGACCATTGGGAAGACAAAGGCGTAGGTGGGTGGACAATATTAAAATTTATCTTAGAGAGATAGGATGGGATGGTATAGATTGGATTGATCTGGTTCAGGACAGGGACTAGTGGAGGGCTCTTGTGAACACGGTAATGAACCTTTGGATTCCAAAAATGCTGGGAAGTTCCTGAGTAGCTGCAGACTTGGCGACTCCTCAAGAAGGGCTCAGCTCCATAAGTAAGTAAGTTATATATTCTTCAGATTTAAAGGTCAGACTGTACGAGTAAAATATCAGGTTCATTTATATCCAAATGATAGACCCCACTGTCTTGGTGATGTTGAATCCTCTTGTGAACTAGGACCTGAGGTAATTTGGAAAATACCACTCACCAACTCCTTCATTGTGTGAATGTAGCAACTCTGTCAATGGGGCTGTGGCTCCTTCCTGCTCAATCATCTCAGCACCTTCTTTGTCAGCAGCCAACTCACACAACACTCCAGCAGCCACTCGCTGTATATTTTCTATATCATTAAAAAGTAACTGAAACAAAAGCAATTAATGACACTCTGAATACAAGGTGTAAACAGCTACTGTATCAAACTATCCAGAGCAATAACTCACTGTCGCAGATCTGAGTAAGAAGTGACAGTGTCTGCCAAACACAACAGAATGTAACAAGCATTCGTTATGTAACTCTGGATGGGATAGTGTCTATGAATCTATCCACTGTACAGCAAATAAATCTGTTTCTGAACGCTGCGATGCATAAAGTATGCAATACTTCTTTTCAGAGTATAATTTAAGTTACACGTAACTGTTATACAGCCTCTTCCAAAGGGATGACTTGCTTAACTTATTGTTGGCCTGTTAGCTGGAACCTGCCAGCCATGAGAAAAGGCTAAAGGTGTTGAGCTAATATGCCATGCAATATAAATAGACACCCATTTCTCAGGGTAAATAAACTGTTTAGAAAAACTCACCATCATGGCAGATAATTAAAATATATCCTTTATGCTCTTAAACACATTTCAATTCTGGTGAAGAGATTGACAATAATTAAGTAACTGTTTCATAAATGTTGTGCTTAAGTTCATCCAATGTGTGAAGACCATTTTAATGCACTTTGTTTTCTTTTAGGATTCACCAGATAAAAATCATAGGTATTTAAGACTAGAGACCTTACAGGCCATAATAGGAGACTCATCAGTCATCAAACACCTCTTCTGAATCATTAATGGAATAACAACACTGCATGCTGTCGCGCCATCTTTCATAAAATAACCATATATCCCTTCCCTGCATAATCCTTATATGGCATGCACTTAGAGGTGATGGAAGGACTACTGTCCTCCAGGGACCTACTCCCTCTTCAATTACACTTTTGGATTCCCCACTCATGGTTTCGAACCCAAGCTGTGCATGTTTCCTGAAGCACTCAAGCCATAGACTCAAAGGTGTGAGTTCAACACTCAGTTTTAAAATTTATTTCTTCAGCTTTCTGCCTCAACACTCAACCTTGGACTGGTTATGTTTTTCTTGTTCACTGTATTATTATTATTATTATTCAGCATCAGCAATGGCAGCGAAGCTGTTTCACAACCTCTGTGTTTGGCATATGTGATTGAGTATCCACCCTCTTAATCATCTCACGAAACTAGCAATGTCTTAAGTTTATGTTTGTTTCTGTAGCAATGCACACAGCTACAGAAAATACACTCAATTCTTGATTATCCGCGAGCAGATAAACCGGTTTGCGGCTTAACCAGGGCTTTTTTGAGGCTTATATGTTGTTTAATATTCATTCACTTTTGTTTCACATGGTGAGTCGTAACACTATTTTCGCACTAGTGTGAACTGAGCTCTGCATTTTTTGGTCCCGTTATGCTAACACAATGTTCTAGGGTAGGGGTGAAAGAATGCAAGGATTTGTGTAAAGTTTCAAGGACAGATACACCGCCCCAGTTAGTCATCGATCTTCAAGTGCATTAGCAAAATGTCAGGGTGTAAAAGGAACCATGTTGTGTTAAGTATTCAACAGAAACTTGAAATTATCAATCAGTTGGGAAAAAGAGGTGTAGTTAAACAATTAGCAATGCAATACGGTATTGGAGAACAAACTGTTCGTGATTTGAAAAAACAAAAGAATAAATTAATTTCCTTTGCTTCGTCTTCTAATTCAAGCGGAATGAAGAGAAAAACCATGAAAAAATAAACATATGATGATCTCGACAAAGAAATGCTGATCTCGTTTAATCAACTAAGGGCACAGGGAACAACATTAACAGGAGTTTATGCTAAACAAGCATATTGTGTGTTGGATTCAATACAAGTTCTTATATTCTTCAATGCAAGTTCTTATATTCAAGTTTTCGTCTACCAACTCGCATAGCATCTTATTTTTACTTTTCCAACCTTCTGCAAGACAAGGGTAGTGAAGAGAGGGTAAGCAAGGTGTTTACTGCACAGAGATACTGCGTTTTCGGACTTTATCCATCGCCCTGGTTTTAAGATAACTAAGATAACCAGGATGATGGATAAAGTCCAAAAACCCAACATCTCTTATACACCATTGTCAGAATCCTATAGTAAGGTATTTACTGGTTTCTAGTTGAGCTAGGAAAAATAAATCGTTAATGGCAGTATTCATTGGAACTTCATGGGCTGCTAGCCAAAAACAACTATGGAAGCAAAACTACAAACATTGTTTCTTCAAAAAGTAACAGGAAAACAGTAGTGGCTAGTTATGAATCACTCTTCATAACAAATGTGCCAGAAAAAAGGCCTTATTTTATGCAGCGGTTTTGCATACATACATTAAGAAGCTAATGATTCCAATGGTTTATGTCACTGAAAATTCCTCCTTGTAAGACTTTTTTTCTACTGACATTTCACAGTATGTACAACATAATGGAGCTCCCTTCACTTTCAGGTTAGGTTGCATAAAATGTTAAGATGCTGGTGAATGATGGATTGGAAAGGGGTTCAAAAGAAGCACCTGGAGAGACTGAGTAAAACCACATACCTAAATCATGGCAACCAATCTCTGAACAGATTATGAAACCCAGGACCCCATAAATATGAAGCAAAAATACTGATTCCCATACCCGAAGTTTAATGACTCAGAAATGGAGCAATGAATAAGCTGCTTGCAAACCGACCTGCACAAATATTGGGATCACCAGCAGTCCCCTGATGATAGCCCGGTTGTTTGATTCCCTGGCCAAGATATGCAAAGCTCCAACAGTTCCTTCCACTATCTCCTCCATCCTCACGCCATCAGCATACGCTCCGGGCTGCTGGCTGCCACTGCTAGCAACTGAAGACCTCTGTAATCCGATGTTACAGAAATTCTGAGAAATAAACTCTGAATATACTAGCAAAATCCACAATATTCTACACACAATTATGTCACTACTATGTTATCAATCAAGAGTCATAACATTCAACAACTATTTTCCACCCATGCTAATATATAACATGAAAATAATTTCAACATGTTACTTTACTATCATTTCACTCACCTGAAGTTGGTCATTTACCAGTACTTTGTCCAGACTACCACATCTAATCATGACCAGATGGTAATACAACATGACAAAACAAAATTTATAATTTTCACAGAGCACACACTTTTTCTTTCTGGTGCTATGTGCATCTGCAATTACACACACACACACACACACACACACACACACAGGAATCATCAGCTACTCATTTCTTTACTGCAAAATACTGCAAACCATGAAAATTGGCTGGGATGCCAGGTAAGCCAGTAGTGTAAGTGCTAGGAGTCAAAGTGTTACATAAGACATAATTATCTGTGGGGGGGGGGGGGGGAAAAAAAAAAAANACAGGCCGTGAAGGCCCATAGGGTTGTGAGACGTTGCGGGCCCTACACTATCTAGACAATCGGCTCAAAGATGGCAGTAAGGCTGTCAGCCTTACGCGCCGGCCGCACATCATTCCCCAGGAAAATTATTTAATTAATTCCTGGTACTCAATTCTGTTAGAGGCTGAGTAAACCCCAGGGCCTAGTGTGGCCAGAAGGATTAGGTCAACTGAAAAAAAAAATCCAATGACCTCATCGGGACTTGAACCTGTGCCCTTCCGGCTTGTATTGGTAGTAATACTGAACATGTATTTATACATTTCTGATGTTATGTTTTTTCAGAGCTAATTTTTAAAGCGTTTAATAACAAGTGTACACAAAGGTTCTATAAATCACTTGATATGACCATGGGAGACCATATGAAAGCCAAAACTTGTTGAATGGCCACTCCTTTATTCTCACGTATGCAGCAAGAGAGCAATGACAAAAATTAGTTCCTAGATGAAAATTTTACTACAAAATAATTTTGTGGCCCTTAAATGGGAAGACATTTGTGCCAGAGCATCATAGGCAAAAATTTAATGTGGATAAGAAATAAAATTATTTTTCTTAAAATTGTATTCTCTGAAAAGGAATTATCATACCTAACTAATAACTTTATTCAGTTAAATATATCAATTCACTGGACACTAACTGAAACACAGGGAGAGGGGACCTAAAATGTACAGGTTACAGAGTATTCATAAAATGCTGGAATAAAATCATCCTAACGCAGTAGAAATGGATCATTTTTATGATCTGACTTGGTAAAAATGGCATGTCACCACCTAGTGCTGTTAAGGTAATGAAGTCTGGGATGCTAGGATGGACTGAATATGTAGACCAAATGGGGGCCATAAAACATATGAAATAATGAAGGGGAAACCTCTTAGTAAGCCTCCAATATGAAGACCAAAGACAGGGAGGAGAAATCAAAGTGGAATACTACACCAGCTTTATACAGATTTCAAGAAAGCCTCTAATACAGTTGTGAGAAAAATGTTGTACAATATTCTCACTAAATTAGTATATCCATAAAACTGGTTAGGCTAATTAAAATTTGCCTCACTGAAACCTACAAGAAGTCCATAAAGATCTGTAGCAAGATCCTTATTAGTACTGATTTCAATTTTGCTTTATAATATGCCATTATGAAGATCCCCACAAAAGAAAAAAACAGGAGGGACTTTAACTGAATGGCACAAATCAACTTCTGCTGTATGCTGATGATAATTTATTAAAGAAACACACAAACAGTGTAAAGTAAAACTCTATTAACTGCTAGAAGAGAAGCCAGCATATAAGCAAACAGTGAAAACTAAATACAGTTCGTATAACACCAGCAGAATGCAGGAGAAAATCACAATGTATGGACAGTTACAAATAGCTTGAAAATGTGGCAAAGCTCAGATATTTAGGAGTGACAATGACAAACTGGAATTGCATTAATAACAAAATTAAGAGCACATTAAATCTGAATAATGCTCCTTACAAACACTTCTGTTACATAAAAACTTAAAAATTAAACAATATAAAATTATACTCTTACTAGTCTTTGTGACAGGCCAAGCTTGCCTCCAAGCAGGCCTACAAATGTATACAATGATTCCAAAACCTTGCAAAATGCCAAGGCCTTGGACCACACTGAGCTGTTATGCCATACAAGAAAATGTTACCTGTATTCTTGCAGGTATGTAAAAGCTGTTCTCATATTAAGGCGAAAACAGACTGTCTCACAAAAAGGCACTCAAAACAGATGGAGCTAATGGTGAGAGACAGCAACAAAAGGTTAAGAAAACTGCACAATGATGGGTTTCATAATTTTCACTCTTTACAGGGCATCATTAGGGTGATCAAACCAAGCAGGGTGAGACAGACATGGGATATGAAACTAATAAATGAAAATTAACCTTGGGATTCCATGAAATGCATGGCATATCTTGGCTAGCTGAATGATTGTCAGCCTCTTGTAGACTCCGCACAACTAAGTTATTCAATCAGGAGATTACAAGATGACATTAAGATCTCAAACAAATATGTTATGAGAATTGTGTCCTAGGGCAGGCTTTGGCATTAGCGGGACAAAGCTCTAGATTCTATTACCACAGGGTTACTAAGACGGAAGACCTAAGTGAATGACAGAAAATATGAAATGGCGAATCTCAAAAAACTAAAGAAGGAAGACTATGAATATTCACATACCTTCTGTGTGTCATGGAAGGCCCTCGTGAGAAGACGAACAAGGTGGTGGATAGCTCCATGTTCACGCAATGGTGCATGATTTGCTGGGCACAGGGCCAGATTTCTGATCAATCCTATCACTGCTTTCACCAGTGGCCATCGGGACGGGGCTTGCAGCAGCTTTACAATCACCTGCATGCCATAGTTCAGACGTACACCATTCTGTGCCATCTCTGATTCAACATGTCGTGATGTCAAATGGCGCAGGGCACAAACAGCAGGTTCTGTTATCTCTTCTCGTTCCCCTGCATTGCAGATGGTACGCACCAAAGCATCTACGCCACCCACTTGGCATACTGTTACTTTATTGCGTTGGTTGTTGCATGTCAGGTTTGAGAGAATGCCAGCAGCACATGTCACAACATTAACATCAGTGGATACCAAAAGCTGAACCAAGCTCTGTAGTAGGCCTTCAAGGCCATCCTACAGAATAAAAAAAATTCAATAATATCACTAGAGAGTAAAACCATACATACATATTGAGTTTCTATCAACTGTGTTATTAAGCAAGAAGAAATGAAACAGACTTGTCAATTTGAAAGAGCTGGGGAGGAAGTAGTTGCTTCTCTCGTATATGTGTTCATCCTTTCCACAGCACTTTCTCTTTTTCCTTGAATTTAAGTCTTGGTCTTCCCAATGGTCATTTATTCCTCATCTTCATTTAATCATTTGTTTAAACAATAAAATTGCATATGTGATGTATGGGGGGGGGGGGAAAAGCTATCCCTGTAACGGGCTGTGGAGGCCCATAGGGTTGTGAGATGTTGAGGTTCCCACATTTTCCAGACAATCGGTTCATAGATGGTGGTAAGATTGTCAGCCTTATGCACCGGCGGCCTTTTACCCCCAAGAATATTCCTGGTACTCATTTCTGTTAGAGGCTGAGTCAACCCCAGGGCCATAGTGCGGCTGGAAGAATTAGGTAAATTGAATAAAATCCATGAAAAGAGAGGTATGTAAACATAATGAAAACGGAATTAAATGAACACTATGCACTTAAGACTGCAATGAGAAAAGAACCAGCAATTAAACAATGGCAGTAACAATGCTCATCTCACCACTTTGGTTCCTGCATCTGACAAGTTTCTCAGGGTCCACAGGCAATTCTGAACCAAGCGTTGACTTGGATGACCAAGATGCATAGCCAATGCCTGCATTCCTCCAGCTTCTACAATAGCTGGCTTATTGCTTGAGCAGACAGACAGAACTGAAACCAAATTATAAGCATTATGCTGTGACAGCATAGTGTGAAATATTAAACTATTCACAAAAGAAAAGATAATTATATGCCTGTCCTATTGTTTGCACTGGTTTTGTGACTCCCTCCCTTCCAAGAGTGTCATGTGAAGTGTAAGAGTGACAGCCAAAGGAAAAAAGTAAAGGGATGCCCTCCAAATGATTCACAATCCTGTGACAAGAAACAAACTTGACATTATATGGTTTTGATCTACCTTTCAATACGCGTGACGTTGTCCAGAGCAACTTCTCATAGTCATAAGACCGCATGATTCGAACAAGTTCTACTGGTCCTTGTGATGCCAGAATAATCAGCTTGCTCTCTTGGTTTCCATATGCTAAGATCTGTAGGCAGTCTGTCACAATGGCCAGAAACTTGACATTATTACGCTGTAGCAGAGCCACCATTTTCTGCAAGCCCCCAGCAAGTCTGACAGCCATTTTGGAGCCTTCCTGATGAAGTAGTAGATTGTGGAGTGTAGTGATGGCATAGAACAGCACAGATTCCACAGGAGAGCTGAAATATAACCAAAATCAAGTTTCTGCGAGCCCTGAAGATCATTAGCATGTCCACAAATTTTTACAGTTAAGTTTCTTCAACCAGCTCAATACAATTCATAGTCATCCCACCTAAATGTTGAATGCTATGACAATGAGCCAACAGTGCCTTCCAAAGAACTTGCCAGAACTCAAATTCAAGTTGAACAATTGCTGAAGGGATATGAATACTGTACATATATTACACACTAGACATTGCAGCACATGGTGTAAAATCAACTGCTAACAACCCAGATAATGAAAGACAGTTATGAATATAATGAAGCATCCATCAACCAACAGAAATCTACACTTGGCACAAAGTAAAACTGAGACAAAACATTAACACAACCATAATGGGATCTGAAAAGGAATGAAGTGTATTAATTTCATAAATCTCTAGGTGGTTAAAACTTAAAGATTGTTACTGTCACTTTTGAGTTTAATTAATTTTTTAACTTCAGTGAAAGACAATGGAATATAAACACCAAACTGTACCAGGCCATGGATAATATCAAGAAAGTGCCTGATGACTGTCACAGTATGGACTGAAAGACACGGAACTAACAGCATTAATAAGTGAATGTCAGAGACAGTGTGAATAAGAAACTGCACAGCCTCGGCACATTAACAAAAACCGCTTAACAAGAGAGACTTAAATAATGATTCTAACTGATTCAACTAACCTGAGCAGCTTCACCAATGCTGGAATACCACCACTCTTGAATATGGCCAGCAAGCCTTGTCTATGGTGTGACAAATTGTGAAGAGTTCCAACAGCTGCTTTAGTAGACTCCAGATCATTGCTATTGGAGATTGCTCGAACCAAAGCCGCAACCATTTGGGGGCTGTTCATTATGGCATGTCTGGAGGCTTCTTTCTTGGATAGTTGGTGCACCATCATAGCAGCTTGTGATACTACCACCTGATCCTCATCATTCAGAAGTTTTATGAGTTCTGGTATTGCTCGAGTGGCTAAATCAGCATCATCCTAATAAAAAATGTTTCCAATCCCATCATAAGGTCAATGTTCAACAAATATGACATATTCCTCTCAGAAAAATTACTCACATCATGTTCTAACATACACATTTAACTGGATGAGAGAGGAAGACTGAATAGTAATGTGTTCATAATTATAATAATTACAGGAGTATTATAAAGCAATGGCGAGAAAGGTCTAGTCTTCACTTCTTCTCTTTCTGATCTCCTTCACAACAGAATTTGGAGAATCTGATTTGTTTCATTCTGGTCTGTCACACTATCAATTCTAAAGACAAAACAACTCCGTCCAGTACGACTATTTAAGTTCGTGTTTGTTCGTGGCTTGCTGTAAACAACACAGCAAGCCACGAACAAACACAGGACGATACTAAGAATCTCCTTCTCAAGAAAGACAGGCAGCACAAAAGACGATAGGAGAAGTGACACGAACCTACTTGGTTTATAAATTTTAACTTAAACAACAAAGTTTTAAAAACTTTAAAAACCTTAATACCTGGAAAGCTGCTGTGATTGTGTGTAAATTGTGTATTCCAGGCATTGTGTGTGTATGTAATTTAGCACTCAGAACACCTATTGTGATAGTAGTTTCCAAATAAGTATCAATGTTCCCTCTGAAGATGATCCGTAAGGATCAAAACAGGTAAGGGTGCTAAGTTTTCAAGTCGTAAAACTTAAATAGTCACATTGGAATGAGTTGTTTTGTCTTTAGAATTTGTAGAATGTCACAAATGATAAAGGTGGGAAAACTTCATCTGTGAGTACCTCTGTATTAAACACACAGTTGTACAAAACATTAAAAATTCATTAACAAGAACTAAAAAAAGGTGTATGAGCAACCTGTAAATTGAACACTAAGTGTAGGTCATTTACAGTATACTGGAACTCCACGATACAAATCTTTCTACAATTCTGAGAGTTATTCTGCTACTTAGGAATTCACTACAGGGATTAAGATATCTGATGTTAGGTCACCATGATGCCTTGCATTTTCTACAGCATCTCTCTAAAGGTTTCCTTTATTCATATATAAAACATTATTAATATTCACATTTTGTATTTAAAGACTTCAAGAAGACTGCATTATCATCTACGCTTTCACTATGAACAATACAACCCAAATGAACTCAAACATTCCATTTCTGTCTTCTCATAATGGGTTTCATTATAGTTATGGCAGTGATCATGGCAATTCAGTTTGCTCATCTACGCAAAGGATTTAAATACTGCCTCCTCCTACTCCTTACTTTACTTACATATTCTTCCATCCTTCTGTGTAACATCTTTCTTACCTTTTGTTCCCATCTCAATCTTCCTCTTGGGAGTTCTGCTTTTAGTTTCACATTCATCTTTGGGATTCTACCTCAGTTCATCCAGAAAACATGCCTCATACCTATTCTGTTCTTAATTTAACTTATTTATAGTCTTCTCACTTCTTATTAGCTCTCTTTTAATACTTCCTTATATACTTCTTAATCTCTTCTCAGCAGTCATTAGTCTAATGCAACCTTTACATAATAAAATTCAGCAGAGGACAGAGGACAGATTTTTTGGTACTGCTACTGAAAACATTTTAAACTGTTTGAATCCACCACTGCAGAAATTTGCTAGAGATGATTTTGTTAATTTCTACTGTTGCTTGCACAAGTACATTTCTAAGAATACTGAGTTATCAAATGCAAATCCTGTCCAGTGTTATCTGCCATTAAATTTAAACACTGAACTTTCTTTCAGACATTTCAAAACTATTGTAAAAACATTTAATCTTGATTTTGTAAATGAGGACAGCCTGTATGAAGAGTTTTCTAGTGCAAAAAATGTTGTGAATGTGGTAAAAACAGGAAGTATAGAACAGAGTTGGGTCAATATTTTCAGTGATTTAAGAAACAAATTGATGTGTCAAACCTTTACAAGATCTTAGGCTCTGTTTTAAGCATCCCAGGCTCAAATGCCCTTATTGAAAGCGTTTTCTTCACTGATGAGCAATAAATGGACTGAACAGTGAAAACAAAGCAGCTCAGAACTAATTACAAGAGATATTCGTAGCAATTATTATGACTATACTTGTAAAGATTTCTTAAAATTTCTACAAGATAAAAAAAAATTCTTAGTTCTGCAGCATCAGTGGACAAATACATAATAGTTTATGACCATGAAACATGCAAATTTGTAAATATTTATTCTATACTGTGACATGTATATTATATACAATGTAAATTAATTGTTTTGTTTAATACTATTCATTCCTTGAACATATGCCGGAGTGACGCAGCACCACTAAAAAAGTGCAAAATTTGTCATGACTAAATCATTCATGGCTAAAAGATGGTCGCCCTATTGCAGTGTGACTGTTACCGAATATGAAGCTTTTATCACATGGCATCCAATAAAAAGTAAGTTGTACCTGGTAATTGATGAGGTTTACAACAGCATGTTTCAGCATCTGACTTGGTTCAGCTAGTCTCTGAACAGCAGTGGGCTGAGCTGGGTCAAACTGAGTTGATGGGATCTCAATTCCTTCCTCCAATGTCTCAGGAAACATGGCAGCCCGCACACGTTGTGAGCGTGTCTGGCTCAGCTGTTGGTTCATCTCTGATCACAGTGGACATTATTTATGTTACTAATTAGTAAACAACAGTACAATCAGATACTAGAGCTAATAAAACACTTTTCATGTAGTTGTTCTGATCTGTCTCTGAAGCTGGGCTTTATTATGTACCAGTATTCCATAAACAATTATGACTTATACACCATGACACATTCCATTACGCACTATGTCATTGTTCACAATCTGCCATTTCAATTCACTGCATTCTGATGCTACTATGCCAGTTAATTTAAATGTTCCTTATACATCATGTTTTAGCATATTACCGTGATACAGGGATATATTATTTCACTGTGTTCTACTGCATCAGGAATGACAAAGGGTTAATGGTAATGAAAGTATGAATTTAAATATGAATTCCCTGTTTCAATAAATAAAAGAGGTAAGACAACTCCTCGACATTTTCTATGCCACAGCTCAATCAGTACAGTGACTGGCTATGGACTGGATGTTCAGGGTTCAATTTGGGAAGTATCCACCAAGTCACCTTCCCAACTGGTTCTGGAGGCCCTTCTCTATAGAAATAATAGATGCAACATGGAGTCAACAGATCATTTCCATTGAGAGCCAAGGTCCCCAATGCATACATATTTACCTGCATATGTCCTGTATCAACTCACGATGTGGCTGCGTAGGATCATGGGTAACCTTAGCCTTACAAACTTCTTTATTTTTATTTTACACTAAAAAGCGACATTATACAGAGTGTACAGTTTATTGCTGGACTGGTTCCCATGGCTGACAAGGGACTCTCGTTGCAAAGACCTGTAGTAGTAGTATACAACTCACAGCCCCCATCTTCGACTGTTGTTTAACTTACCTCAGCTTATAAGAGTCTTGAAGTGATGACCCTCTGCTTTTACCATGCCTCACATCATAACAGAATATGTTTCTAGATGAATAGTGAAGCTACTGTATAGGAACAGTGAAAATTTCATGCCTAACATTTTTCTTGAAAGTTCTTCCAAAGAATGCAAGTTGTGCACACATGCTTTTCTTTCAGTGGTCTCCACAAATAACTCACAAGGACTTAAATCAGGAGACAGTGGAGGCAATTCTTCACTTATGACTTACTTGGCTTCATCTAATGCATCCTCTGGATTACTTTAGTGTGGGCCATTACAGTATCTTGCATAAAATACCTGTATAACCTTACATAACATTCATTAGGAAGTTACCATTTCATGAAAAAACATGAGCCCAATTATTCTGTGCATTAAATACACACCAACCCAACATTTAAATCATGCAACAGAACTTCACAAAGCACAAGTATGTTCCGCACTCCAATATCTATTGTTTTGATTGTTTACATAACCACTCAAAGAGAATCAAGTCTCATCAGACGCTGTTAACATTAGCAACTTTTGTACCAATCAGAGACGTACTTTCTGCCAAGCCACACTGATGAGCCAAATGATTTCTGCTTCTAACTGAATACTGATATCAACTTTTCTTCAGTCAACAGATTTATGATTTCTTCTGGTCTAGCACTGTTCCTGTAGAACACAGTTTTGCTACAATATTGGAAATTGTTGCTTTATACAACACTGAACCTTCTATAGGACTATGCAAGGTATTGGACTGGAATAATTTCTGTTCAATGCTGTAAAGTATATTTGTACATATCTCAATGACAACTAAGCAGGCTAAACATCAGGAGTATCAAGATAAGTCAGCAAGCATGTGATGAAGTGAATATTCAGTGGCCAGAAGTTGACAGGCACAGGTGGACAAATTTCTAGTCAGCTGGTCTAAGAATAAATTGGATTATGTGTGGCTGAGAGCACTGCGTGACATTGCAAATGCAAACAAATGAAGGCTGACAAATAATTTCATCAACATATTTGAGCAGCAACATATAACACTAAGGAAGTGACAAGTTTTAGATCGTTTAAACTATGTAATTCTTCATCTTTGCATCAGAGATCAACTGTGTCCAAGAGTAACTGCCATATCTAACATGTAAGGCATCAAATTACCATACAAACTAAACCAAAGTGCATTTTACAATGCCTAATGATCTACATGACCCTTAAGACAGCCATAATCAGTGTTGCTGCTTTCATATTTGAGTCATAAGGACAGTACAATAAATTGACCTGATGCTGGTAGTGTTAAAGACTCTCTGATAAATTGACATGTCAACTCTGGCAATGAATGCATAAGTATATAGTTTCCTTCTATCAATGTTCATATCCTTTAGCCATACAAATTCCACACTTCTGTCATGGCCACAGTTGTCTACTGGGTATTCCTGATGCACTGTCCTCTTCAAAATTACTAATTCCAGAAATTCTACAGTACTGTAAATCACTAACTGCATGCTGCAAATACAAAAAATTCTCACAAAACAGACATGCAATGACTGACAGCAAAAATCTGAGCATGTGTTATCACAGCAGCAAACTGCTCACACCAACACCGAACTCAAACCACTGCATTCCCTATGCCTGAATGTTGCAAGATTTCAATCTGTGTGGAAACAAACAAAAAACCCTACAAAAATAATCTACAAATTATGGAGATTTTACAGATTTAAATATGGAATATGACTCTAGAAATCAATGAAGAACATGTCACAGAATTTTTACACTGGAGTGGAATGCATTTAGATACTGTTTAATATCAATTTCCATAGTTGCTGTAGTATCAGGTCAGTAATATGGCTTTAGTGATTTTTCTGATGACAGAACCTACAATCAGACAGTGCGGCAGCACGTTACCATTCTATCCAAGGGAACCTGTTCACTCTCTATGAACTGGCGGTAAGAAGGCCAAAGAGAACAGAACCTCTCCATACATTAATAGGTAACAAAATGATGCATAACATCTGATGTACAATAACTTCTGCTTATCTTGCATACAGAGGTGTCACAAAAAAGCTATACAAACAAAAAATAAAACGTGCAATTCTTCCATAGATGTAGTACTACAACTGGGTCAAATTACAACGGTGAAGTATGTTACTCACCATCCACTTGGTCCTGTGTAAAACCCTGTGTGAATCCTTGGTCAAGATCGAACATGAGCTGTTCTGACTCCATATCTTCCTCTTTGCCAGTGAGTGATGGAGCCTGTGTCGTGGCACCGGAATGAATTCCAGAATCTCCCAGATACGAATTCTGCTGCCACATAAGTGTCTGCTCCTTGGCTGATCCCATTGGCAGGTCTCCAGGGCCCTGGTAGTTGCCATGAGAAACTGAAAGAAGCAAGCAAATCAACCATTACAGTATAAATACTATGATAAGTTCTTAAGTACAAACACATACCACTTCAAGTGCAAAATATCACAAAGAACTCAAGCCCAGAAAGACGATGGCTGATGGGTGAGAAAGGATTTTGAAGTTGTCAGTCAGAGCCTTTTCTATTATCATCTTAACAATCATGTGCAGCACTAAAATGACAGCAGGTTATCTAGCCAGGATTTGAACCATTCAAATACAGATTTAAAATCTTACCCTACACCAAAATACTCAAGACAAAACATCAAAAGTTTGTCACTCTCAATCTGCCTAGAGTAACATGGGGTAGGGATTTGGGGGTGGGGGCTAAAAATGAATTGCTCTATGTTTTTCAATCTCATGCACACTGTAATAATATGCCCCAGTATGTGTACAAGATTTATCCAGTTTGGTTGATTCATTGCAAAGAAGAACATTTTCTGTTCTGAACATTAACAGGGTTTGAAAGGGTGCACTCAGTAATGCAACACACATAATTACAAATGATAATCTCTGAGGTTTATCAAGTTTAACTGAAAATGGGAACAATGAAATTTGTACCAATAAAAGTCTCCCAAATCAAGTTTCAACATTTATTTATTTTACTTCGTCACGACAATAAGTAGCATAGATACAGCATACATTTGTCGTTTCAAAAACATGTTCTGCCTCACTGAGCCATCATCAGGCATTTCACTTTTCACATTCACCTGTATTCATCCGCTAGCATTCCTACACTAGCCAACGTTTATATATTGGAATAATGATATTTTGTAGTAGTATGATATGCCATTATATAGGAAAAAGGTCGGTTCACCTTTAAGATTAAATATCAATCGTTAAAATTAAACACATATAAAAGGTCTTATGTTCTGTCTGCGTGTAGTAGTTGTGTGTAGATGTCTGGTGTGCCTCACCAGTGTCTGAACTGTTGGATGGATTTTATTCACATCCAGCAGATTATGGTTTATCCATCACAGCCCGATGCCCGGTGAATATGAACATTCCAGCTCCAAAAACAGAGATGCTTCAGATTAGCTCCAAAAATGAAATAACAATTTTCTCAGATTATGGCATGAACCTTTCTTATCAATTGATGGATGACAGGATGTTATCTTTTGATATAAGTGGAAACAGATTTCCAATTTTTCATTGCATCAGCTCTATGGTCATGTTAAGTGGGTCCCTTGTCACCATGGCATGGGGAGCCCTCAGGTAGTGGATGGAGGAGAGAGCTTCCAGATATGGCGAGCAACCCGAATATACCGAATAAGCAGTCACAGACAGTCAACAAAGGGTGATCCTCAAGCTTTGGGGGTGGGCATGGGACTAACTCCTTGCCACAAAAAAGCAGTTTGTCACAAAATGTTACATATGGCCTCTGCTAACACATTCTGAGAAGCTTAAATTGCAGAACTAGATACATTTTAGGATGAGGCTTGTATCTAACCTCGATCTGTTATATAAAATCTCCATTCTATAACATTAAACAATGCAGGTAATTTAATTTACAAAGAATAAACACTGGTGACTGTCTACTTACTTGGCCTGGCTTGTTGAGGCTGCATCTGGTAACTCATTTTGACACGGGAGTTATGCTAAACCCCTGCAAACAACAGAAACTAAAATCAAAATATAAACTGATGAAATCAACACATAACACAGAAATGCAGTTCATTTGCTCAGACTGGCAGCATCCTTTCTGAGATCTTTAATGTAATGCATGTACAACATAGCAACAAGAAGTTCTGGGAAAGATGACTAACAGCCTGCTTGCTTTTTCAAAATTTCAGTATGACACAAGCAGAAAAAACTTTAGTATGTATGCATAATAAAATCAATAAAACAATTTATGCATAATGAGGTCAACAAAAGAATACAATTTGAGAGGCTGGAGTATTGATTTCAATGATGGGCAGGATTTATGAGGCACATTATTGATGGCACGATACACATACCAAGTATCATGATGATCAGTTGAGGCATTCAAGTAACAGTAAGGTTATTACCTCAGCAATTTCAGAGGCTGCAGTGCTGATATTACTGATGGGCGGAATTTAAGTACACCGTCAAGATACCATCGGGTGGCATGATATATATATATAAAGTTTCCATGACAATTTGTTCAGCTATTTAATTAACAAATTATAAATCACTCTGTCCAATGTGACCTGTAAGTTTTTTACTACACAAAAACTTAACACCCTTACATGTTTCGGTCTCTGTGGACCATCTTCAGAGGGCAAACATCACTACAGGTCACACTGGACGGAGTGATTTATAATTTGTAATTTTTATTGTGACGGACCAGAATGAAACAAATCAAACTTATTTAATTAATATTAAGCTTCCTACTTCAACAACGGAGAGGTGGAAATGGTGGTACTGCTGATGGGAGGATTTAGTAAGCCAATGAGATGGCATCAGGTGGCATGAAAAACATACCAAGTTTCATAAACATTGGTTCAGACATTATGGGGTATATACAGAGGCTTACAGGTGCACATTCGCACAACAAACTAAGGTGAGTTATAAATTTTAATTTCTTATAAAAATCTACCATGACTGGCAATTGAATACTTTGCAAAACCAGTGCTTGAGGCAGAAAAGAAAGATAACAGGATGGTTTTAGCAAGTCTGAAGGTATTTTTAAGGGGCATGGCTCCCTAAATGGTACAAGTAGGAAAGAAGAAAAATGGACATCCTTCAACACTTACTAAATTATAATATTACATTATCTTCATCAACAACTTCATCACTTAGGCCATTTCGTCTGTTCTGACTCCCAAAATGAAATTGCCCCTTCCATTTTTAGGCTTTCCTGTATGTTGTCTCTGAGTTTATAAGTGCTATTTGATTCAAGCCCACCGTTAAAACACACTATACCAATTATCTCAAATAGTTTCACTGGCATTTTTTTATCTTATGCTTCTGTCTATTGGAGATCATGTAATGTATAACCTGAATGGTCTCAATAATTTCATCTCTGCTCCCTGAATCCTTTCTTTTCTGCTATGTTTCAGATCCATACAATAAAGTATGAAGAGTCACTGTTTTGTAAAACTTCAGGACAGGCACATACAAATTTTGCTGATGAATCAGCCAATAACATTTGGAATGAAGGGAAGGGAAGTAATTAACTTGTAGACCGCTTCATGGCATTATGTTTAACAGCGAGCAGTGTGGTTCATGGGCGGGAGGTTGTTTATGATCTGCCAGCAGCAGGCAGCAGTTATCAGATCCATTAGCTATTTGTTAGCAGTTCCAGTAAGCAGTGTGGTATATCATGGTGCAGTATGCTTTAGAGAAACGCATATTTCTGTATGTCACCCATGTGAAATATGGATCTGCTAGAAAGTGTATGCAAAAATTTCACCATAAATTTCATGAAGTAATTCCCAGCAGACAAATAATTCACAATTTGGTAATAGCCTTAGAACAACAAGACTTAGGAGACAAGAAACAAAAACATAAGTGGCAACTACTTACTGAGAAGTTATATGACATAGGGTCCAGACTTGAACATACACCTAGAAAACCACTGAAATGTCTAGCTCAATATATTGAAGTCTAGTGCAAGAACGGCAACACAACTGCTGAAGCGAGCCAGTGAAAGTTAGTGTATGGTGTGCTGCAAGTGCAAGGATTGTTGTATACCTGTTTTTAACGAAACAATTAATTGCAAAAAATATCTATGTGTAGAGAGGATGGCATTTTCAATGCCTCCTGTGATCTGTGAATTGTAACTACTTCATTCTGAATATTATCAGCCATCAGGCATGCTGATTCATCAGCAAAACTGCATATGCCTTGTGGCCGGTGGTGCACTGTTTGCCATGAAGCACAGAGCCGTGAACTTGTCAAGTGAGTAAAAATCCTCCCTGTATAATAGCTGGTGTTGGCAGTTTTTGATCTCATGAATACTGCTAGCAAAGAAGCACTGACACAGCAAATCACAGCAATGATGAACTTGAAAGGTGTGACTTCATATAAAATGTTACCTCTAAACCTGCCCCACCCCACCCAAAAAAAACATACATTCTATTACCGCTAAAACAAAATTACAAGTTATATTATTCGTTGGAATTGAATTGAATTTATTTACATTCTATAAATCCTAAGTAGGTTAGTACCTTTGGATACAGAACAAGTCAAAAGGTTGCATACATAAGTACAGGCAATTTTAGCTTAAAAATTAATATAACTTAATTTTACATCATTCTCTATTTACATTGAAGTATTCATCTAAAGAGTAGAAGGAATGAGCATGTAGATAATTCTTTAACTCTGATTTAAACTTTTTAGTATCATTGCCCAAGTTTTTAATACTTTGTGGCAGATTGTTGAACACTTTTATGCCAGTAAAGTAGACTCTTTTTTGATATACTGATAAAGTTGATGAGGGTAGGTGGAAGTTATATTTTTGTCTAGTATTCATGTTATAGACATCAGAATTTAATTTTCACTTCATGCCCTCCAGACTGGCCCTGGGGCCCAACCTGCCTCCTATCCAATTGGTACCAGGGGCTCTATCCCCAGGTGTAAGGCAGCCAAGGCCTGAAGGTAACCACTCACCTCCAGCTACTGCTGTGGGCAAAATAACATGGGTCTATACAACCACTCCCACATACATCTTCATGGTGTAGTGCTTAATTAGTTAAGCACATGCACAACTTTACCTCACCTTTACTTCATTATTATTAGTCTGTCTTTGTAGACTGAAACATGTTCTCCCTTTCTAAGTTTTGTGCTCTTTCAGTAGGAACACCGTTCCTGTTTGATACAAGGTTCCAACGGCATCGGTCTGTTTGCCGCACAGCTTTTGGAACAGTTCTGGGCTTGCAAACCAATTCTCCATGATTATATGGTATCCCTGATTGAGTAGAGTAGCCATTACTTGTATAACTACTTCTGAGCCACATGGTTTAATTGTTAATTTGACATTTAGGTGATGCAGTATGGGTGTGAGTTTATATAATCTTTTGGAACCACAAGTAGCCTAATCGTTGAATCTTGTTGTCAACAAAATGAAGAAACTTGAGTAGAAGGTGAAACCTCCTCTCATTGAACAGGTCCAAATGTATGGGTATTTCCAGAAGTTTCCTTGAGGAAAAAATTGCTTCTTATCCGGTTTCTGGTGAAGTCTGTGTAACAGAAGAATGCCAGCAACTTCATTATTTCATTTCTGTTTGTCACCTTCCAGTAATGGGACCTACATCATACTTTTAGATTAGGTGTGTTTTCTAAAACTTCTGATGCATACCGATTTATTTCTCTGGCTATTACTTCTGCAAGGGGGTACGCGGTAGCGTATGCTACAAGCTGGAAGGTCATGGGTTCAAGTCCCAATGAGGTCACTGAATTTTTTTCAATTGACCTAATCCTTCCGGCTGCACTAGGCCCTGGGGTTTACTCAGCCTCTAACAGAAATGAGTACCAGGAATTAATTAATTAATTTTCCTGGGGAGTAAAGTGCGGCCAGCGCGTAAGGCTGACAACCTTACCGCCATCTTTGAGCCGACTGTCTAGATAATGTGGGACCCTTAACGTCTCACAACGCTATGGGCCTTCATGGCCTGTTACAGGGATAGCTTTACTTTTACTTACTTACTTTATTACTTCTGCAATTTCTGGTGTACAAAACAAATCAAAATATTCCAGGGGGTTACTGGCATCTTCTAAATCATCATTTATGACAGGCTTGCCAGTAAACGGTACATATGGTCACTCAGCACCTGACTTTACCCATATGCCATGCTGCATGCTACAGTTGTCACTGACATTTTCTTCTACATCAGAGTTGACACTCTGATCACATGACAAAATGTTCACGATTATTTCACTGTCACTACTATAGGCACTCCCAGAAACATCATTATATTAATTCTCTTGCAACAGTTTATATAACATCTCCACATCACTCATAAGCATCTTCTTGCCAGGACCTGCTACAATGTTCACTTGCAAAATCTCGAACCCAGGACAGCCATCAAGCAATCAGCACCCTCCTGTCACACTCTAAACTAACTACAATTGCTGTCATTACATGAACAACTGTGCAGCTGGAAACATTCATAAAGTATAGACATCATACCCACTATGATACATGACATATTAAGATGTCATACCCTCTTACATAAGAGGGGGTACCCAAAAGAAACTGAACTTATTTTTTTTTAAACTTATTTATTCAAATTTTAAGCACAAACCTTCAATCCCCTTCAAAGTACTCTCCACTTACACTAATAGACTTGTCTAGTCTTTTATTCCATTTTTCAAAACATTGTCTAAATTCATCTTTTGAGATGCTTGACGGCGCCTCCGTCGTTTTTTCCTTTCATGTCTCTTTTCATTCGAGGAAACAAAAAAAAGTCGCGCGGGGCAAGGTCGGGTGAGTATGTAGGGTGAGGAACAGTGGTCATACCATTTTTGGTCAAGAATTGTCATACAGACAGGGCTTTGTGAGCAGGGGCATTGTCATCATGGAAAAACCAGTCACCCGACTGCCACAAATCTTGCCGCTGAGCTCCAAGTCACTCCTGACAGCTCCACAATTTCTTCAACGGTCCATCATCGATCTTCCTTGATGATTTCACGAATTTTTTCAACATTTTCATGTGTTCGGGCCGTGGAAGGACGACCAGAACGAGGTTTGTCATCAATTGACATTTCACCATTTTTGAAACGGGAAAACCACTCAAACACTTGAGTTTTCCCCACAGCATCGTCCTTGTACGCCGTTTTTAACATTTCAAGAGTTTCTGTTCCACTTTTCCCGAACAAAAAGCAGAATTTCACCGCCGCACGCTGTTCACGAAAATCAGCCACTGCAAAAACGACGATCACACAAAACAGTTGTCACTATAAACTCTGCCAAAACTAGTCCTTACCTTCTGAAGCAACGGTAGTCGGCTTATCGACTCAGGAATGTTAGCTCTATGCGCTCATAGCGGCAAAACGCGGTACTACAAAAGCTCTGCCCACAAAAAAAATAGTTCGGTTTCTTTTGGGTACCCCATCGTACATATGGGACTAAATAAAACTGATATAATGGACATTATAAAAACAGAGGGAAAAAAACGAAGGCACTTAAACGCATTAGAAAAATACCACATACAAAATCAGGAAATACACACATCACCGCTAAAGAAAGAACATATTTAACAATATAAAAAACATCTATATATTCCATGCATAAAATATTAACACAAATCATGACTACATGTTACAAGCATACCAGTCTACAACACATGCAGCGAATAAAAGAAATTATAGCTTGGATTTCAAATTTAAATTACAAAATTAGGAAAACGTATTGACCCAAGTGCGGCAATTTCTACAACAATTTTAATGCACCTGATGATAGGCAAATAGGCTGAACTATTTTGTGCAACATATGTGTTAAAGACATAAGACCTAAAACAACTAAGAGTTTTAAAAATTTTAAAACTCTGTGCGAGTTGCACGGGAGTCGACAGTGAATACATGAATAAAAAGTAAACACAACGTCAAAACATTACATTTACTCCTGTTTGTTTTTATGATACAAAGCTCTGGATTATTGCTGTATTCTAGAAACAAGGTGCAAGTACTATTGGGTTAAACATATTAAAATAATCAAAATTAAAAACGGATGTTTTTCTTTTTATTAGCGGTATCTGAAATGCTTTTAAGTTTGCTTCAGATACGTGGGATGGAATCCCTTAGCCGAATGCACTGCAAAAAACCAAACTTCTACATTGTACTAATACAAACGTGACCCCATTTATTACACTCTTAAATTCGACTCTTCCTTTTATCAAGCAATGTGAATTCATACTACCTTCAATATTAAATATTCTTTGTCCCGACCGTCTTCGCTATCCCAATCTCATCACCACACCCAAATACACAGACGGCTCTACAAACTTATTACCACAATAGCAAACATAATAATCACCTGTAGATTTTCCAGATACTATTATATATGCGTTATCCTCAGACGAAAAAAGCCTTTATTCAGTTGCAAGTAATTTACTAACGGCTCTTCGTAACTCCAAATATTCACACCACCAATACAGAAAATGGCGTCCGTACACTCATTCAGGTGTCATACAAAGTAGATCCAATAACTTATATTACTTTGGATCAATATCTATATGTTCCTTGTATGGGTGAAAAAGTATTTCGAACTTAAAAATGAAATAAGTTTCTAACTGAAGGACCACAAGCTACAAAAACGCAAATAATAACGTAAGCAATATTACATAGCTATTAAACTAAATATCAATCCGCAATCTGCTGTGTACTGTCACTTTTATCACGTGACCAAGGATCCTCTAAATCCCCCTGAACCACGGATCACTAAGCACAAGGCCTGCAATCAAAGATGCTTACGAAAACATTTCCATTTCCTCCCTCCAAAATATTTCTATAGCATTCCCAGACCATGCATTAAACATGACACTAGTTTTAATTTAAAGGGCAGAATTGCAGTTTCATAAATGTTGCAGAAATCGTTTTCTTAGTGTTATCGACCAGAATGTTTGTAACATTAAAATTACAGCAGTGTACAATAGAAACCGCATAAAAGGTAGGGTGAAAATTACTAAATATTTTCATTTGCATAGACTGAAAGAGTCTGTTATAACAGTAAATGACAGATATTCAGAACAGTAATTTAAATAAATCCTCATAGGTTGATTGTGCTCTAATGAAATTCAGTGGCTGCAACTACTGTGTATTGTCCAACTGTCATAGCTAAGTGTTGGCCGATTTTCAGTGATTCATTATTCTCCACTGTGATGAATAAGAAACACAAGGGAACTGCAGAAAAAGGGAGTCTAGTATGTGGTAGCCTCTTTATCAATCCAAAAGTCAACATTGTACAAGATCAGCAAGTTACTGTGAATATTTACTCGTAATATAAAGACAGTCCACATCAGTACTGAGAAGAGCTCCCACAGTGAAAGATGACAAGAGCTAAAGGTCTCAGGGACCTATAGTATTCCATGTGAATGTGAAAAGTGTGTACAGGACAGACAGGTTTATCCATTGGAACACAGTGCAAAGAACATGAATGACATCTAAGTTTATATCAACTGCATGTGTCTGTAGTGGCAGAACACAGCATTTAATCAGGCCACTGGATCAAGTTCCATGAATCTAAAGTACTAGTGAATTCATCAGGCTACATGGACTGACTTGTCAAAAAAGTAACTGAAGTAAAATTATATTTGGACAGCATAAACAGAGGGAAAGGGTTCAAACTCAGCAAAGCATGGAATCCCAGAACCAGTTTGTTCAGGGATTCCAAAACACATATATTTTGAAAATCACAACAAGACGCAGAGAAGAGCATGAGAAAAAGAAAACAAGATAGTTTGACAACAGTGACACTGGGTTAAGTAACAAAGTGAAAGGTTGGAGTCAGATGGGTGACCACACAGTTTCACTCTCACCCTTCTGCATAATACGGCAGCAGGGACATGCATCAGTTTGACATCCTGGCATAAATATCAGTAATATATGGTCATACACCTCATAGACCCTGATGATTAAGATGTAGGAGATCTCTGAAATGTTCAACATAACATGGCTGATCACCTGAGGAAATTGTAGCGCATTTATTTGCCATGAAAGCTTTGGAACTTACATATTGATAGTCACGTTGTGAACAGCCAGACAGCCTACCACTTCTGAAAATTTACCTAGGCCATGTCTGTTGATGGACGAACTGGACCCTATGGCAAGAAGCTGCCCTTACTTCAGAAGCAGATAGAGGATCCATAATTTTAAACATAGTCAACAATAAAAACAAAGTCGAAGAGGTCTGTCTTCTGGGATATCACAGAATGTAGCCTGTTGAAAGTCGACCAGTGTTTCAGAGGAATATGTCGTCTAGTCCTCAGGGCTGCAGAGTAAGGCAGGCAAGAAACCAGCATTAAGCTGGTCTCCAAACCTCAATTCCTTCAAAACCAAAGCTGATTGCATGAAATGTGGGAAGGCATTCACCAGTCATGACATTGTGGAAAGTGGTGATGGTGAAGCCATTTTGGGGGGGATTAGAAGTTTACACTCAAAAATTGAAGGTATAAACTAGATGGAATGATCATTGTATGCAAAGATTTAGGTGTGGTCTACATGACTAAATGCTTTTTGTACAAATCTGTATAGCTTTCCATTTCTAACATCAAAAATCACCTGTATTTGAAACATCTGTATACTCTGAAATGAGGTTTACATTTCCACCATTGTTTTTATTTTCAGACCTATTTTCCAGTGTTACATTAAAAATTTAGTGAAATGAGTTTGAACATCCTTATCAATAACTGAACCACATGATTAGTTCATTGTGGCAACCTATGTTTCTGGAATTTACTTGCTTCAGTGAACTTAATTATTTCTTTTATGTTGTTAAAATACTGGAAAGAATTAATATTTCACATATTTGACAGGGCTGTATAAATGGGCAGTGTGCTTATAGCGCAGCCTTTACATTATATTTGTATTTCCATCAGATGCATTTGGAAAACATGTGCCAATTGAACTGCTGTAAATCTTAATTTCCCTCCACCATTATTTTGTAGATCTTTATGGATTCTGTCTCCATCTTCAGGTAAAACCTACTTAGTTGGGCCCATTCAATAGAGCTAGTCCCTATCTCCAGACACCTGCACCAACACAAGATAGGGTATAGAAACCATCTGCAAGAGTCGAGGCAAAACATTAGAACATTAAAAAACTCCACATTTATGAGGCCTAGCAGCAGAATACTATCAGAATAGAAGTGAACACTGGAGAGAAAAGTTCTCTGTATATTACCAACATAAAAAACACTAATTTTCCTGCTTAATCTACACTGCACGGAGTTGTAGCTGTTTAACTTTTGCTGTGATAATGGGAGTCAAGATGGGAAAGATACCCAAGCTGGGTTAAGTGATTGGATAGTCTATCAGAGACGTGCGCAGATACCTTTTATTTCCTGTATGTTGTGTTTGGGTCAATCTGCAAGACCTCTTATTTCGAACATATTTTGTGGCTTTCTTCATATGCATGTTTGGCTAATTTTTATTTTTTCAAGCAGATCTTGTGTCAGCTTTCTCATCATCATCTCATCTAGACATAATCTGAGCCACAGATCTCTTGAAGTTGGTGATGGATATCCACTGTCACCAAGCCTTATGTCCAGAGAAATGTGGTCAGTGCACAAAACTCCTCACAGGACCATGTTCCAAGATGAATCACCATTTTAAATCAATACTTGGGTCTGAACAAAGACAGCCTAGTTTGAAGTTTGGTACAGAAACCCAAAAATAAAGAAATATGGATGTTATGAGTTTTAGAAAATCATTTGAGGAAGAAGGAAGGCAGATACCTTCTGTCCAAGAGAGTGCACTGTGTGTTTCTTCCTTCATAGGAACTTACAGCAATACGTTTGGTGGTTCACTAGTTAAAAAACTCAGCTGACAGAACTGCAACAAGCAGTAGAGTGCTATTTCTGATTCCTCTTGAAGGAATAGTCAGGAATTGAGAAATTTCAGGTCTGATAAGTCAAATCATATGTTACAATGACATTCCTGGATGCGGCCCAACCCTGCTTTTTATCTTAGTGTTAATGACATCACTTGGAAATTTATGTTTTGTAGACCATGACTTAAGTCTTGTAAGCCTGAGACATCACACTTATTAACCACAGAAAATACAGCCTGCATATTAAAGAACAAATGAAAAAACCAATATTTCTACTCAGATGTTTGTGGCATCAATTCAGATTTGGGGATGGAATAAACCCACATTACCCCAAGACAACTGCATGTTGACACTTCAGATGCAAGATCCATGAATTTTTTGTCTAAATCTAGGACTAAGAATTTCAGTTGAAGTAAAAATATATATTTTTTGATAATGTACAGCTTTCTTTCAGTTACAATACTCTACAAAATTGGGATTGCCGTGCAAGTAACCAAATAGTACTGTACAAATTTGTGATATGGAGCTGGTGTTTGTGACTAAAATACATGTGAAGGTCGCACATAAAAATTCTGTTGCCAGTGTCCAGTGGCTTTTATTTTGTGACACATGAATTATTTCTCTTACCTAGTATCTTTGAACCATAACCTCTACTCCTGGGTTCTCACTCACTGGTAACCAAGTTACTGTAGCACCTTACCAGTACCTTTACCACCTCTATACCCAGACACTTCACAAAAAGCTGTAACTAAAGCAACACAGGACTGAAAGAATGCCACATGCTATCTTGCTATGCTGCCAGTTACATTCTGTCTACACAGCAGCATAACATCCAGTGGATAGGAGGTCAAAATATTATATTTTCGTGTATATATGTGATTATAGATGGGGTTTGGATTGCTGAATGGATTTCCTGACTACATACACGACTCGTTACTACAAGCAGTTACTGTGCCACCGCTAATCTCCACGATTCACAAATCACCACAGCACCAGTTAAGCCTTTTTCCAGCTTGCTGTGTCTTCATCAGCCATTACCTGGCAACGACTTCTAACAGTGGAGATTCTTCAGCTGGACACTCTGAGGTTCTGTCTTCAAAGCCTCCTTTGCAGAACTGACTATCAGCTGACAAATGACCAGGTATAACTTTGCCCATTGCTTATAACATCTTGGCACATTCCATGTAGAAACATTTTTGTTTTGTTTTGTTTCTGACGTCACGAAGCAGCAACAGCTCTCCAACAACCGCGCCGAGACAATGGCTCTGTCATCATTCGCACCATAGGCAGCTGTTCGTACTGGCGCACGCAGCACTGCTTCACCGGCCAGCCAGACCAGCTGAACAGCCATGAAGAAGACCTGGTCTGCTGCAAAGCAGCTAAAGCTACTAGTGAAAGCACGATTGAACAAACGGCCCTTTTCTGGGCCCACAAACTTGTGAGCAACTATTCTGTACATTCGAGAATAATATATACAATTGTTATAGTTTTACGTGGTTGTCTCTTAGAACATCAACATCCCAAACAGTATATAATATAAAATCATGACCTGAAGACAGGTAAGAGATGTTTTGAAAATGTGGCACAGTTCAGATATCTGGGAACAACAATAACAGATCAAAACCTGATTCAGGAGGAAATTAGGAGGAGACTGATCTCAGGTAATGCCTGCTACCATTCAGTCCAGAACCTTTTGTCTTCTCATCTGCTGTCTAAAAACATAAAAATTAGAATATACAGAACTATAATTTTGCCTGTAGTTCTGTATGGGTGTGAAACTTGGTCTCTGATATTAAGGGAGGAACACAGACTGAGGGTGTTTGAGAACAGGTTGTTGTGGAGAATATTTGGATTGAAGAGAGATTAAGTGGAGAAAACTACATAATGAGGAGCTTCATAACTTCTACTTTTCCCCAAGTATAATTAGAATGACCAAGTCGAGGAGGATGAGGTGAGCAGGGCATGTACCACGAATGGGGCAGAAGAGGAATGCTTATAGGATATTGGTGGGAAAGACAGAAGGAAGGAGACCACTGGGAAGACCAAGGCGTAGGCGTGTTAACAATATTAGGATGGTTCTTGGAGGGATGGGATAGTATGGATCTGATTGATCTGGCTCAGGATAGGGACCAGTGGAAGGCTCTTGTGAACAAAGTAGTGAACCTTTGGGTTTCATAAAATGCTGTGAAGTTCTTGAGTAGCTGCAGTAAGTCCAGAAGTGGTCGCAATGCAAGGGACTTAGCCCCACCCCACCAGCAATAAGAACTAAGTATTTTTTTATTGCTAGTGGGGTGGGACTAAGTTCCTTGTACTGTGGCCACTTCTAGCCTATTGTACCAGCCCCTGATCATAGGTGAGGGTGATTGTGGAGCAATTGGTGGAATGAAGATTGGCAGGGAAACCGAAGTAGTCGGAGAAAACCTGCCCGACCGTCACTCTGTCCACCACAAATCCTACTTGACCAGACCCGGGATCGAACCCGGTCCACCACAGTGGGGAGCCAGCGACTAATCGCTTGAGCTATGGTGCGGCCAAGTAAGTAAGTAGAGATTGAGCTCTATTTAAAATCGCATTTTAAAACTATGCGCATTCCGAAATGGCGTAAATATTTCCCCAATTTTTTTATGTTATTGTATGAAGTTAAATAAATGGTAGAGACTCAGGGCTATGCGTTCTTACTCACTAATCAATTAATCGTGACTGGCTTAGCAGAGGTCTGATTAATTTCTCATTTCCTGAAGCTTGGTTTTGAAATGTTAAAGTTTTACTGAAGAAAATTGCACGAAAACAAATTTATGCGATATCGTATCTATTCATATTTGTTGTCTCCTGTCTGTTCTTTCAGCCTTAATAGGTAACTCAGTCGAAATGGCGACTAGATTTGTCTCTGGATCTGGGTTCAATTTCACGCAGGAAGAAGCATTTGTCTCCTCTCTAAAACGTTCAGCCTCACTCTGAGGCCGTCTCAGCCTCGTATCCAAAGGATGCAGTCCAGGCAAATTATAGTATATGCTTAAACAAGGAAACTGGAACAATTGCTGAAACAATTGAATGTATTAATGTAGAGATTCCACATTTTATTGCGATTTAACAGTCTCCGTGAAGTTCACTATATTGTGGATATATAGCATACATCAATGTCACGTGGGCTTAAAATGTGGTGTGATACACAGAAAGTTAAAACGACAAGAAAGGAAACTTGATTTAGTTTTCTCTAGACCTTTTGTAGCTTCAGTATATGAAAATAAACTTTTGTTAAGAAAAATAACCAAGAAAATTGTATCAAACGATAAGGACCCTTATCTTTTTAGGAAGGTGTCCTGTTCAAATCTCGGCCAGGACACTGACTATCCTGATTAAGGTATTTTATGATTTGCCTCAGTCACTACAGGCAAGTTCCGGGGTAGTATCTAAAATTGTACTACGAACGATTCATTCTACGATATTTTCTGTTCATGACTATCATCCACTCATTTCACACTGACGAGAGGGATCGGACTTAATGATGCAGAGCCCTTATGGGAGAGGTGAATAGTTATGTGGCTGGCCATATAATTCTCAGTTTCTTATTAAATCAGAATATTATTGACATGTTCTCACAAAAGCGCTATGCGAGCATATCCTGTGTTATTTTAGTCCAGTCCACGTGTTCATAACTATTTCTCTAAGATCAATTTTAATATTATCTTTCTGATCATATCTAGGTAACCCAAGTGATTTATTTGTATGCATATCTGATTTCTCAGATTCTAACTATGTGTCCTGGCCATCTCGTTCTTCTTGAACCCTCTTATTACTCATTACTTTCTTAAATCGAAAATTTGTCCAAAACTTTTTGTCGTCACATATGCTGAATGCCACTGAAACTGAAGCAGTGAAAACAATTTCTTAATGAGCTTCAAGAGATGTACTAGACAAATTTACGTTAAAAGAGTAGATGTACGAAAGGAGCTGAATATTTATCATGCAAATTACGATATAGACGACTATAGGAAAAGTGGAAAATCTATCTAGAAACATAGGAAAGCCACTCAAAATATTGCTATGAAATCAGAACATACATAAACCTGGTTCTTCCATGGCAGAAGGGGAATAAGTTTACGTCTGAAAATTGATGAACCATTTTGTCTAATTTTGTGATGTTGCAGCTCTGTATATTTTCGTAATCAGCGTTTTGGATTCGCGTTACCAACTGGCAGACTTTTGCGGATTTACTTTTTAGCCTACTCTCGCTTGAGCAAACAGTATAGGCACCTCGTTACTTCTTACTCTATTTCACTGTAACTATTTTGGATTAAGATTCTTTTCAGCATAATAACATCTTTCGTTCTCCAGAATACAATATACTGAAATATCAAAAATGACGTACAATTCTTGTGCTTGTTTTGTTCACAGCATTGGACGCCGCTGCGGCACGATCTTTGAAAGCCATTAATTTTATTTGGTTGTCTCGCAAAATGTTACTTTCGTGTAAGTACGCCATAACCAAGATCGGCATCTGAACACATTTCTTGTCCGGCGAGAAAGATGAACGCCATATTTCCACGAGAGCGTATCCAATAAATTGTTATTAGCATATTATCAAAGACACTTATCTGAATGGTGCGAAAGCCTACTTCAAGTTGTCTGTATAAATCAACCATCGTTCCGGACACAGAAATAACTCATTTGTTAAAAGGCATATAATTACATAGAGCTATGCTGATCAAATATTTTACCAGATAATGCCATGACATCAGAGAAGTATGGGCCTGGGGGAGGGGCCCACAGTAGACAGGGCGCGGGGTGCTTTGAGTAACGACGGTAGTTTTACATAGAAAGAGAGGGTACGTATAGTGTGTAATAGCAGCTTTCCTCTTTCACGCCTCAGGAAAATGCGTTTACACTGTGTTTTAGTTGAGCCACTGATCTCCGACTAATGGAAGGACAAGCAGATAGTTGAAGTTGCAGGGAATGACACGAACTACTAACGTGATTACAGCCAATTCTTTCTGTTCTGAGTTTTCATTTGCACCACTGAACTCTGATTAATGGAAAGTTAATGAAATATCTGAAGCTATGGGAATGAAATGAATGACTAACGTCATTATACCTTTCCCTGTTAGTTTTAATTCTGAGAAATCTTCTTGCTTTAATATATTTTTGTTGCAATGTAAAATTGTTATTTTTTAAGTTCGAGAGTGGCTAACTTCAGCTATTATGCACAAGTCTTCTCAAACCCGAAATCTATTCAGTGTACAACGGACAGTACTTCTAAATAAGTTATCTCATACCTGACATGGGAGATTTAAGGTGTCGTAGTAGCAAATTCTTGCACAAGACACGTGAAATCAGAAGCCGCATCCGTGTGAATATCGGCATGCTTGCCTTGACCCTGGAATCAACCAAATGAATTTTTACGAAATTTAGTATTGGCGTTGTGCATTAAATTCTACTGCGAGAACTAATATTGGTCCATTTCAGACCAGTATACCTCCTACATCACATTACTAGAAAAATAATCTATTTTCAGAGCTAGGCGTTCAAATTACTCTAAATAAATGGAAAAATTAAGTCGGTGAAGTAAAAAGTAAAGTAAATCTATCCCTATAACAGGCCATGAAGGCTCATAGGGTTGTGAGACGTTGAGGGTCCCACATTATCTAGACAATCGGCTCAAAGATGGCGGTAAGGCTGTCAGCCTGCCATAGTGCGGCTGGAATGATTAGATCAATTTAAGAACGTACAATGACCTCATCGGGATTAGAACCCACGACCTTCCGGCTTGTAGCATAGCCCCTCAACCAACTACTATCTTTTAAATGTTCACGGGATGAAAAATGTAAGAGAGACCACAACGCATTCAAATTTGCCAATAATACCTGAGCGAAATTCCTTAGAAGTCTGTTGAAAAATTGGAACATTATCAACTTCCAGGTTACTTACTTACTTAATCACGGAGCTGAGCCCTTCTGGAGGAGCCGCCAATTCTTCAGCTACTCAAGAATTTCCCAGCATTTTATGGAACCCGAAGGTTCATTACCGTGTTCACAAGAGCTCTCCACTGGTACCAATCCTGAGCTAGATCTATCCAATCCATACCATCCCATCCTATCGCTCTAAGATAAATTTTAATATTGTCCACTCACCTTCTCTTCCCAGTGGTCTCTTTCCTTGTGGCTTTCCCACCAATATCCTATATGCATTCCTCGTCTCCCCATTCGTGCTACATGTTCTGCCCATCTCATCCTCCAAGTCCAAGTCACATTGCAACTGACGGTCAGTAAGTCAGTAAGTCTTGGTATCGAGCCCCATCTGGGGCTCCTTGACTTGATCATTCTAAGTGTACTTGAAGAGAGTACAAGTTATGAAGCTCCTCATTGTGCAGTTTTCTCCAGCCTCCTGTCACTTCGTCTTCCTTCGGTCCAGTATTCTCCTCAGCACCCTGTTCTCAAACACCCTCAGTCTATGTTCCTCCCTTAATGTCAGAAACCAAGCTTCACACCCATACAG